GGATGGGGAAATCTTCACTGCGCCTGGAGGGTGTTGACACACTGCGTTCAGTAACTTGCTTTTTACTATCGTCACACGGCTGTCATGCACAACGAATATCCTAAGAGTAAAGCTACTTCTTATTTACGGAAGATTACCTCCATGATAGCAAGCTACTACCACTGCAATCCTGCATGCGGGCCAGCACTCTCCCCACTTCCACGCAGCGCAAGTGACTTCGCGCTTCCTAGATTCTTCGGTCTGGTCATCTGCTCAAACAGCTGGTTTCCAAATTTTTGGAATGCCGAAGCGATACCGCCATGCTGAAAGAGCTCCCGCTCCATCTGGCTCAACTGGAATTTGAACTGCTTCCCATCAACGTCTATGACCTTGGTCTTGAAGTCGATGGAAATCTCGTTGCCATCTTGAGCGACGTCGTAAAATGCCTCGTCAGTCAGGGTGATGCCCAAGAGACCCAGACTGGGCATGTTACGCTGGAAGATGAACGAGTATGACTTGGCAATGACACACTGCACGCCGCAGCCTGTGTAATATGGGATTAGAAGGACATCTGCAATGATGACTATGAAACAGACGTACCTAAGAGTGCCATAACCGCCTGTTCACGGGACGATCCACATCCAAATGCTTTTCCTGCCACGACAATATTGAACCCATCTTTGACGCGCTGGCGGAATTCTGGGTGGGTGTGCTCGAGGCAGTGCTCGCCTGCGATCTTATTGTCTGACATGCCGATAAGAAATTGGGCAGGAGCCAGCTGGTACTTATTAGCTGCTGTGACGGGGTTTAGAAGAATGGGAACAGCATACAGCATCAGTATCGATGAAATCGCCCAGGCGCTGCACTTTGCCTGTCATCACGTCGGACGAAGAGCTATCTGCTGTCTCTTGAGTAGTATCCACCTCTAACTTTACATCTGTCGGGCCGGCGTTCTTTGTTTCTGCGGTCGCGGAGCCACTAGGTTCCATGTAGGAGATATGGTCTGGTGTAGAGTCTGTTGCAGACACAGAAAAACCACGGAGGGTATGCCATCTTTCCAAATCGATGGTTTCGAGAAATTCATGCGGGTCTTTCAGCTTCATCTCAAACGACGAAGCAGCAACTGTGGCAGCGGATGCAAGATTGCCGATGGACCCTTGTATTGCAGTTAGACTTATGTCGCCATCTTCGCCCACGTGTTATCAACGTACCTTTGCCCATACGGTTCTCAAAGTTACGGTTCTGCGACGAGATCCAGACTTCTCCCGGTCCAGCCTGGTCGGCCGACATGCCGACGCAGTAACTGCACCCCGGAATGCCGATCTCAAATCCAGCATCTTCGTAGATCTGTGCAAGACCTACCTCACGAAGTCTGTGTAGGATAGGCACCGAGCCCGGAACAACCTTTCTCTTCCCCTGAGAAATTGGCTTCATACCACGCTGGAGCCCTTGTTCCAGCACAAGAGCACCGAGAATCAGATCCTCTTCGGCAGTGGTGCAAGCACCAATAAAGCACCCATCTAGATGCATTCCTTCCTGCTTGGTGACAGGAACGACGTCGTCAGGGTTGGGGTACTTGGCCAGAAACGACCGGACCTCGCCAAGGTCTATCTCATGGGTTTCGGCATACTCGGCATCATCGTCGGGTTTGAAGTAGACGCTGGTGTTTTTGTGTCGGGGCAGGCGTCGCTTCTGGATGAATTCTTCCGTAATTTCATCGGGCACGAAAACACCGGTAATTCCGCCAAATTCCTATGACCGTTAGCACTTCTTCGGCCTTTGTACGAGATGATAGACGGACTGTGGTCATGTTGCTAATGGCAAACCGAGCATCGCAAGAAAGATGCTTAACTCCTGGCCCGGTGAACTCGACGATCCGGTCCGCGGCCACAGTGTTCCGCTTCAGCTGTTGCAGAATGTACAGAATAGTGTCCTTCCCACCAATCCCGGGTTTAGGAGCACCGACTAGACGAATGTTGACCGATTCAGGGACCTTGAACCACGTCTCTCCCGTCACCAGCGGAAGAGTCACATCGGCTGCTCCCAAGCCGATGGCCAGACAGCCTAATGCCCCGGAAGAGCAGGTGTGGGAATCGGAACCAACGACCACCATGCCCGGCTGGGCTCGTTCGCGGTAAAACTCGGTATGAAGGATAGTATACTACAGCGTGTAAGCACAAGCGGTGCAGTCTTGCAACTCTGAAATAGACCTACGTTCATGCCCTGATAGTCAGTCATCTTGAAGACGCGCTTAGCCCTTTCACTGGCGTCAATCAATGCCTTAACTTTGGGATGTTCATTCACCCGGGGGTCCACGACATGATCACCCGCTAGCCAGAACCGGTCATTCCGGTAGATTCCAGGCTTCCCGAGATGCTCATATGTTCGTTCCATGCCCTATGAGTCTTGCGGTAAGCATCTGGATATGTAGCTCTGCGCTGAATGAGAACCACGTACCTTCCATGAAGCCTCAGAAGCAATTACCCAGTCGACGTCCACGCGGATCAACTCTCCAGGTGCTACGGACCCCTTCTGGTCAATATTGTGCAGCGCAAAGATCTTCTCGCTCAGCGTCATGCCACGTCGACCGGGGGGTCGGACCGCAAGTGGAACAGGTGGTGCCCTGGCACGATCGGCCGAGTTCAAAGCTTCGAGCCATGCTGTGACCAGAAACGTAATTTCGGCTTCTTGCTCGGGTGTTAGACTGTCTGCTGCGGATAAACCGAGTCCTCCTATCTCCGTGGGTTGTTGGCTTATCGTGAGGACATCACTGAGGGCATTGGCCTCCCGAGGGTAGTCCTGCGTCCGAAGTGCATCGACTACTCGCACCAACTGATTAAGTAGATTCCCTATGGTTGGCAATGCGTACGCTTCATCCCGTTAGTGAAATTACTGCTATGTATTTCTTTGATGTTCCCGACGTACTGTCTGTCTCCGAGAGGATGACATTCCGGGTTTGCTGCAGTACTTGCAGTAGGGAAGGGGGCCTGGGTTCGCTGGCGTCACCCATGATGATATTGTCTTGCTAGAAAGGCTTAAAGAGTGAGCATCTCTGAGCGGGGTCGAAGAAGCTGTAAGGACAGCATCTTAATATATGAAATGGGATGCATCCTTCGCATCCTGCGTTCCCGGACTCGGCCCGCTTGCGGCCCGGAGGATTCACAAGTATGATATAACATCATCACATGGCACCACCAAGCACTATTGCTGCTGCTGCTGCTGCTTGCTGCAACCCCTCAATTGCGCTTAATTACGCCCCCATCGATTTACTGCACACATTACAATGGCCATTGCTCCTGCGGTTACCAAGCTTCGCCAGCTCTTGGCGGACGAGAGCAAGATTATTGTCTGTCCGGGGGTCTACGATGGCTTTACTGCCCGAATAGCCCTCCAGGAGGGGTTCGATGCATTGTACATGGTAGGTACTACACCAATCACTGCTGGTCGGGGGTTCTACCTCTGTAACTGACCCTGTTTGTCAGACAGGAGCAGGCACGACGGCCTCGCGACTGGGACAGCCGGACCTGGGGGTCGTCACATTGAACGAAATGCGGGGGAATGCAGAGATGATCGCCAATCTGGACCCGACAGTTCCGCTGATTGCTGACGCTGACACGGGCTTCGGAGGTACTGTTCCGCCACCAATGACAAGATTCAGTGGCTGACCAGGCATACTAGGATCTCTCATGGTCCACCGCACCGTCACCGAATACATCCGCGCCGGAGTGGCCGCTCTGCACCTGGAAGACCAGCCGACGAGTAAACGCTGTGGTCACTTGCGCAACAAGCAACTCGTCCCCGAGGACGAATACCTGGACCGCATCCAAGCCGCCGTGAATGCTCGCGCCCGGTCCCACGGTGATATTGTTCTGATTGCCCGGACGGATGCCCTCCAGTCACTGGGGTATGATGCCGCCATTTCCCGACTCAAGGGAGCCATCGCCCTCGGGGCAGACGTAGCCTTCCTGGAAGGCATCACGTCCACGGATCAAGCTCGACAGGTCTGTGAAGAGCTCAAGCCCACCCCCGTTCTCTTCAACAATGTTCCCGGGGGTGTGTCGCCAGATCTCTCGGTTCAACAGGCGCAGGAGCTCGGGTTTCGGCTGATCATCTTCCCTGGATTGGCATTGGGGGCAGTCTACTCGGCGGTTCGCGGAGCGGTACAGCAATTGAAGCAAACCGGCACGCAGGCGGTGCGAGCAGGGGGGAGTCCGCGGGATTTATTCAATGTGTTGGGATTGCAAGAGGCAGTGGCGCTGGATCTAGCTTCGGGCGGGAGGTTATATGACAAGGGGGTTTGAAAGGGTGAGGACTCGGAATGCTGCCTGTATATCAAGTCAATCAATGGATGAGCCATAACTAGCCATGAGGAAGATGACAGGCACAACTCCTAAGAGCCCCAGGCACCCAGCATGACCGGGCGGTGAGAATAATGCCGTCTTCTGGATTGGGCAGGCGGAGAGTCAAACTCCCTCTTCAGGAAGTCTATGTCACGTGTTTTGGTTCTTACTACTCTCTTCTCTATCATTAAACCCTTAATATTGAGCCAGATCCTTGATCAATAGAAGTACTTTCTCGTTTCTGGATATGACAATATGTTCCAACCCCCTGTCTAGTAGTACTGATTTTTGATATTCAGTGTGCCTCGCTTCAATTAATATATATAGTGGCTATTACTATATCTAAATATATATATCTATATATACATATTCATAAGCCTCTTTGAAAAGTTCGCTCGCAGAGATGCTTGACACGTTTTCTTTCAATCCACGCTGTCAATATACTTATTGAAAGCACTACCTCATCAATGAGATGTAATAGACAAAATTTATCGAACTTCTAGGATATACTCAGAACAGCCCAGAATCATAAATCTATATGCCAGCTTGTGTCAGCGTTACTATCGCATCTGATTGGCTGCTCGTGCTCGGACCTCTCGCCCTCCGAGCATCCGGAATGCCGAGAAGGACACCAACATGACAAGAGGTTCATTTTTAGAAGTTACTTTCTCCATCCATCTCCTCAAATTATCCAAGCATCAAAACCATGGCTGAACACCCGTCCTTCACTCTGGCTTGCCTGCGTAAGCTGACATCTCCCTAACTGCGTCAATTTACCAGACATGGACTAAACAATTGGCAACTCAACAGTGCCGGTGGGTGGCATCGCCGGCTACATGCGGACGCGTTCCGCTCCGTCCCTGATCGCCGGTGTCGGCCTGGGTCTCTCCTACGCTTACGCAGGTACGTAGCACCCACATGATGCAGGTAGAAGAAGGAACACATACTGATCTCGAATTGACAGGCTACCTGATCAAAGAGAACAAGGACTACGGCACGGAATTGGCCCTGGGAAACAGTGTGGTCCTCCTCGTCTCCGGTCTCATGCGGACGATCAAGACCCGCGCTAAGGCTCCTATTCCCATGGCTTTGGGTGCGACGGGTCTGTTGGCATCTTTCTACTATCAGAAGAAGGTGCGTGAGTTTAGGTTCGGCGTGTAAGATATCCGATTGGCCTCGATGGACAGCTCGAATGAGTGCTAGCGATAGCATTAAAATGTACCATACCATGTGTCCTAAATTCATTGTAATTGTTTAAGCACATCGGTGAATCTTACACAGTAATGGGGTATATGGCTGAAATTCAGTTTCTTAAGTCCTGATTTACCAAATGATTTACTGTTATTTGACATATCGGGGCTGTTAGCCCGTTCGCAGAGATGCGTAGTCTTCATGGGCATACGTCATATCTTAATTGCGCCAAGGGAATACAATAGTCCAACGTTGGTTCCATCAATTCAATCAAGGCAAACTATAACATCATATACAATAAGAGACAAACAGTTGCAACACTTGCTTTTCAGAAGTATCAACAAAGGGGTAGCCCCAGGCCAAAAGACTAACCCCTCCTTTCCGTCACTCATCTCACCATTGCCTTCGGATTACATCCATCGAAGCTTCAACAATCTCAAGCCTCACATCTCCAACGCCTTAGACGTACTTGACAACAACCTCGCTATCGCTGACGGAAACGGAGGTCAGAACTTCGTTCTGCTCGATGTCGATGATGGTGGCATCCTCAGGACCAACGGACGAGCCATCCTTGGTAGCGGAGCAGCTGGTGAAAGTCACGGTGCCAAAGTCGGCAAAGGGAACCAGGGAGTCATCCTCCTCAAAGTCCTCGACGATCCACTCAGCGTTGTACTCACACAGATCGCCATCAACACCCCCAGTGAAGCTGTGGGTGACCGTGGTACCGGTGCTCACGTTCTCAATCGTGGCGGTACCAGTGGTGTCGCTGCTGGCATCGACGGTGACCTTGATGGTATCACCGGCCGAGATGGAGATGTCGCTGAAGTCGTAGGCGTAGTCGGGGTACCACTCGTACCAGGCATCGAAGCTCACCTCACTGCCCTGGACACAGAAGTCCACACCGGTCTGGAGGATAGCGGTGTCACAGGTGTCACCGTCAATGCCCACCCAGGCGGAGGCACAGTATTCCTCGCGGCTCGAGCCACCAGAGGGCACCGAGGGGGTGGGCACGACGAACTCGGCGGTCACGGCAGTGTAGCCAGTGCCAATCAGGACGGCACCAGCCCAGTTGGAGCTGTACTCGACGTTCTTGGTGCCATTGAGGGTAAGGACCTCGTTGGTGCCAGGCTTGAAGGGCGGGTTGCTCTGGCGGTTCGTGGAGCGCTTGGCCCGAGCAGCCTGGCGCTTGGCCGTCAGAGGAGCGGCCATAGCAGAGGTGGCCAGCAAGCCAGCGGTCAAGAGAGCAGTGGTCTTCATCTTGATAGAGAGATGTTTGTGAGGTAATGATTTGAAGAGAGACTGGGAGATGCCTGGAGTCTGAGGTGGGAGCTGTTTGGAGATGCTGCTGGATGAGAACTGTCTGGTAGGGAATTGACCTTGATTATATACCCCTTCAGTGTCCCCTCTCTCCTCTCCTTGAAGCTCGATTTCCTCCTTATCCGCCAATTCCGATTCCTGCCCTGCCAGTGCAATATCGAGCAGATAACACTACCCGGATACGAAATTGACGCATTCGCCTATCGACCAGGGCGACGGTGATAGGACCGACGGTGGCTGATGGTGCCAAGGCGCCAAAGCGATGGTGTCTCCTGTCTGCAGCATTGAGGAAAAGCTCTTTTCGCTTAGTCCGGGACTGGCGATGCGAAGGGTCTTGGAAAAAAGCTTCAAAGTTACAAGCATTCTTGGTAACGGAAGGATCACGGAATGTCTATTTAAGCACCAGGCATAGATCTGTGGTTCCCATATGTAAACGAACAGCATTCACTTCACAACCTTGATAGCGACAGCAAAGGGACGATCATGCTGGTATCGAAGCGGTAGAGAACATTCAACTTGATGGTGTCGGCTCTCGAGCTCTCTCGTCCCACCGTAGACCTGCAGAAGACCAGCTAACCGCGTGACATTGGAGCGCACTTTGCCTCAAGCGGAATGTCCATCAGACTACCATCCCCAACGATGACGACGTGTGGTCATGGCGTGATGATAACGAGGGGAACAGTCCATTGGTTCCTTGGAGATCGTCCCGTGTGTGGCAGATAAACTTCATTTAGGATGAAGAATGGGGGTGATTGAGTGGCTCGTGCCTTACCGAGCCTGTAAACTCCGGAGAAATCAATTTAATTAACCTTCACATTATGCATCTTCTCCTCGGCAATAGCAAGCAATGCAGAACCTGCAGCGCGAAGAGCGGGTTTCCGCCCGCTGTAGAAACCTGGGGCTGGAAGTCAAATACTGGTTATCCAGGGGAGACAGAATACAGCCGCCCATCTGCCAAAAATGGTACCGATTCTACCCCCAAGTCTGCCTCAACGTGAAGACGTATGAGAAGACTGAAGTACCGCCCCTGAAGAGGCATAACTGCCGGCATGAGGGGTCAGGCGTGGCCAAAAGGCAACGGGCCGGAGTCCGTCGGGATATCCACTTCATCCCCGGCGCCAACTACTTCAGCCCCGCTTTGTAGGATGCATGTCGCTGCTTCGTGATGATGCATCTCTTATCACCGCTACCGTTGTCCGGGTTTTAACACTTCCACTGCAGAAACCATATGGTTCCAGGACCGGAGAGTTCGGGGATCAATCACAACGGCGAAGCGGATATCTGTCCAAATGGGGAACAGATGTCCGTACGCGTGGGAACCAGCTCCGTTGGACGAGATCAGAGGTCCTTTACCATTAATTCTCCCGGTATGATCATGCTATTGTGGCTATAGAGCCTTGGCGAGTATGATATGACGATGATACTAATTTGTTGAGGGCGACTTGACGCGCGCGACTGGGAGCGCCGTCTGCAATACTTGGTAACTTCGCGTCCGAAGTTTTCTTGACTGGATATGTACCCATAGACAGGAATCAGATGAATATGTTGTGACTAGACCATATCAGGTCAATTGACTGAACACATGAACGAGCATCGTATCTTCTTAGCACCCAGAAAGGATAATTCCATCTAGCTCATCCTTGCGGTGGGATGGATGGCCAAGAGGATATACCAGTTCGAACTGCCCAGAGCACGCGGGAAGATCGCCGAGTTATGTGGAGTTGCCGCAGATCAGGTTCGATTCGAGTGTATCTATATTCCATACTGTTTTCGAGATCCTAACATGAGCGGCATTAGCAGGATAGGCATCAGATCGACCCACAACGTCTTTGATGAACATTGCCCGGTATAGATTGAAGTCACCGGTTCCGAAGATCAACCCGATGTCGATCGTTGCTAGAAGAGGCTGGCAGCTCGCCAATCTGGCGATCACCGCTCATAGCCAGGTACAACTAAATCATGACAGCGGGACGCGAAGTTCTGTTTCTTGAAGTTTTGGCTATCGTATGACCTATGTCAGAAGGCAATCCAAAACTGTTCCGCTGGGGGGTGTCTGACAAAGAAGATCATGTCATTTCAAGACAATGACATGTAGAGACTTGGTAAACATCATGTGAAGTTTTAGGCACAGGTTTGTTATATTTTGCTGTAGACGTGTTGACTGTCTTTAGTTCAATGTCACTAATCACTTTGCATGCCCGGAAACTGATCATGCTGAAGCTATCGTCAATGGCTAACACTTCACCAAACCTTGTGCCTAAGACCTATTCACAGTCTCATCACTTATAGGGGGGAAGGCACTCAAGCCTGGAAGATGAACACCAACATCAATCGGATAGAGCATGAAATACAGAAAGGCTAGACACGCCATCTCCTAAGAAAACTTTCAGGAGAGAAATGAGGTAACGCAAAAACTACTCCCATTTCTCGAGCTCTAACCGATGCTGCCCATATTCCTTTCGGAAGTTTGAAGCGCCTTGATAGGGAGTAGTACCCACGGACTCGCTATCTCAGGGGTAGGACATGAAAACCTCCCAACGCACTTCCTTTTCGATCATGTGGAACGACAGCGGACGGATCACAGGCCTTCTCGTATTCGTGTGGATCAGTTCGCAATTTTCAAACAGCCGGCTTACAACGTGCTTAGATGGCCCGCATAAATTTTGCGTGGCTCGAGGCCGCGTCTTCCATGCCAAGAGAAGCTTATACGCCTCATGCTGAAGACCTCGCACATACTCACTACTTCAGAGGGCAGAAAGTTACAGAAAGAATGGTAATCTGTCCCCGAACCTGCTCTCTCATATGTGAGGCAAAGGCTAAGTGATGCTCACCATCCAGCAACTTTGAAAAAGATCAACTCTTAGGGTGGTGCAATGCCGGCTGCTAACCGGACCTTCTGTATACGTCCTATGCCCTCACTCCCTTTGCCATCACCTCCATGTGTATTTGCATCTCTGCAGAAGCGAAGGTTTCACCTGTACCCCACCATGTTGGTCCTAGGTCACGATAACATGAATATACGACCCACACTTGACTTTTTGGTCTGGTCTGCGGAGAATCCCATCTTTGAAGCAAGGGATGCGATTGGCGCATTGGAGCCGCTGACATAAACATCTTTCATATTCGCGAGTCTAAATTAGGAAGAATTTTGAAGATAAGATCATGGCTTCATCAATGATGAGAAGTTTTTGTTCGGCGGAGCCCCAGCATCAAGAGCGCGGTCCACCAGCAGTCCAGTCTCCGCTCCAGAGATTGCTGCCACGCAGTCTCCTCCTTTTGGATACGCACGCTACAAGCATCTTTCGTTCTTTGCTCGAGTCAGGACTAAACAAGGGAGTGAAAAAAAAAAAAAAAAAAAAAAAAAAAGCCAGAGCACTGCAGACTTTTTTGGTCAATCCCTGCCGTTTTCTATCGGCGGGTAAGGGTGGGTCGGCAAATTGGTCGGCTGCCATCATGAATTGAGATAATCAGCCGCTTGACACTGACAGTGACCAGAATGATGGGCCCTTGACTGATCCACCCCTGTATCTACTCTCTATCTCTCTACCGGCGATTAGCTTTTTCTAGCTTTTCGGCAAGTCGGATCTCAGCAAAGCTTGCTTGACTGGTTGAGTACCGACGCGCGTCAAGACCCTCGCCTGGGGCGCGCCAAGCCCTGCCCTACGTATTCCCGACGGGGCGCCTTACGCATGGCTGACTTTGTTGAAGCTATTCCCATGTGCAGGCAAATACCAGGCTCTTAGTAGCTGTAGAGAGAACTGCGCGTTTGACTGCTGCTGGACACAATCGCTTCACCGGCCCTTGGTCCATCTGAAGTGCCTCTCTACATCCCGGAAGGAGATCCACGAAATATCGCTGCGCAATACTTGTGGCTCATTAATGTCTCCAATTATAGAAATGTCTTCTCCTATACTCCACTCTAAGCTGTCCTCAGAGTATACCTGAGCCCTACGATTGTGCTACACGTTCATCTGACCGACCATCCTATATCGGTGCCCCTATCATATAGTGTCTGGGATCGTGTGCCTGCCGCAACGACCTCGGCCCTTCGTTGTCGCTGGAAGACGCCAAGCGTCTGTTCAAGGGGGATCCAGCATGATTTTTTCTGGGTGTGGCTGAAACCATGGCCTCCCGGATACAATCCGCTTCTATCACAGATGTGGACCGTTCGTAATCCGCTCCTCCATTCCCATGTCACCGGCTTTCCAGCCTTATAGATGAAAGCCTCCGGACCTTTCCCGATTGATACTTTCCAGTGCCGATCCGTGGTGGAAAGGATTATTTTGAAAGCTCCTGTGATGTGAGTTGGGCTCATCGTTTCGAACAGTGAGAGGTATAAAAGGCATAGGTTACTGCTGAGGTCTTGAGGTCTTCATTCTTTGCATTGTACTTCAGTCTCTCTTTCTTTTCTTTCGAGTATCCAACCTACCTTTGACAGTCATTTATCTCTCCTCTATCTCTTTATATTTTTTGATTTCGATTTTTTTCAAATTAATAAGCGTCTTCCGTTCTTTGCTTCACAGGATGAAGTTTTCGTCGTTCGCGGTGGCATTGGCGCTGGCAGTCACTACCTCTGCTGCTGCAGTCACTACCTCTGCTGCTGCAGTCCCTCATTCATCTGCTAATACTGACCAGAGTGAGACCACTTCTCATGATATCCCTGGATTCTTCAGTCGAAGCTGCACTCGCGAAAAGATGACTGTCCGCAAGGAATGGCGTCACTTGACCACGCACGAGCAGAACAGTTTCCTTGACTCCGTTCAATGCTTGATGAACAAGCCGGCCCAATCCGGATTGACGGCAACTACGAGTCGGTTTAGTGATCTTCAGGCCCTTCACCGGGGAATGACCAACACGGCGTATGCGGATATTATCCATCATGTGGTAGGTCAATCCCAATGGCTCATGATATGCCTATTCTCTCATTAACAACCTTACTAGGGTCAATTCCTCCCCTGGCACCGCTACTACATGCACATCTACGAGGCCCTGCTTCGTAATGAGTGTGGCTACAGCGGTCCTATGCCGTACGTATTCCCATTTTACTCACCTTTGGCGCATTCAAATGGACACCAAAACTAACAGATACTGCTATTAGTTGGTGGGACGAGCAAAAGGACGCTGACAGTGGCAACATGTGGCAATCGTCAATGTGGGGAGCGGATGCCTTTGGTGGCAATGGAACCGGATCGGACTACTGTGTACGCGATGGCCGGTTTTCCAACCTCACTCTGCACATTGGGCCGGGTGATGAAGACACGGACTACTGCTTGCGCCGCGCATGGGACACCAAGAACGCAATTGCCAACGCCAACAGCACAGCACTTGAGATGTGCAATGCGTATAACACCTATGCCCCTTGGTGGAATTGTATCTCCAACATCCCTCACAAGGGTGTACACACCTATATCGGTGGTGTGGTATGTGATACTTCTTAGTACGAACCGAGCCGTATGCAGGACACTGACTGACAAAATGCGCAGATGGCGGACATCAAGTCCTCCCCAGGCGACCCGATATTCTTCATGCACCACATGTACATTGACCGGGTTTGGTGGAAGTGGCAGCAGCAGGATCCCATCAACCGGTTGTACGACATCAGCGGTCCGACTCTGAACCACACAGCCAATGTGGAGCCTGCTGGAGGCTGGCAAAACGCTACTCTTCACTACGAACTCTCCTCGTTCAACATCATGCCCAACGTCACTATTGCCGAGGTGATGAACACCCAGGGAGGTTACCTGTGCTACGGATATGACTAGGGTAAAATCTGTATTTGCTGAAGGTTTTTCTCCTGATCAGCCCCTTAGACTTTCGCTATAGACATTTCCATTTGATAGAACTTTCAATAGACAAGAGAAACCTCTAGGTACACTTTCATACCGCCCGTTTTATTTCCCACACCGAAGACTTGAAGTGTGCCGATTCCCACGCCGTTGTAGCATCAACACGGAAAGCTACCAATGAACTTCCCCAGTATCCCCGGATACAACGTCCGCACTACTCCGTATTCCAGACATTGATTGTGGACGTGCGCATTGACTGCATTAGGCGCACGTATCGTGCTCTGAAAGCCACCTGCGTCAGTTCTCTGCTTTTCTCAAGGTCTTGGGGATTCCTTGTTGTTAGCCTGTTATGGAATTGCCACCGACAGAGCACGTGGATAATTGACGCAGCATGATAAAGTGAGTAGTCATTATGTCACGGGCGTTCCAGACATATACAACAGACTATCAGTTCTGCAAAGAAATAGAAAACAAAGGAAACAAAGTTAAACACGACGGAGTCATGACAGTAACTGCCAACCGCTTATCACGCGCGCATACTACTGCCCATCCTCGTCCCAACTCACCGGAAACCTTCTTTAATTCTCCGGCGACAAGAAACTTCAAAGTTCGCGAATGGGACATCTTGGGCTGCAGTAGTTCGGGGATTTATGAGCGATACGTTTGAACAGGACGACTTGATTGAGTCCATGTCCTGGCAGTAACAGCTCCCCATGGTGAATGAGTAGCCACTGGGGAGGTGTTATGCTTCGTCCATGCATCTTGCCATCTTCCGCCTTCCCAGCCCTGCAGAGGCCAATGCAGGCGATGCCTCGTGGGACTGTCATTTGTCATCCATTTTTATCCTGCAGATTCAGGAAACTCTTCGTTTATCAGAGGCACTAAGTATGAAAATCTTCCCGCTAAGGCATGTCCAACGCACCAATCAAACTTTGTTCCAAAACAGGCTGTGACAAAGTACGAACAATGGCTCCAAAAGAACGTTGCTGCAATTCTAACTTTACTGCTTTTTCAACTCTCTTGCATATATACTGACGTCGAACATAATCGATGGAGAAGATTAAATGACCGTAAAATCCATCACATCACTTGCAAGAAGATTCATTATAAATCTGGTCTTATCCTTTACCCTTCGCTTCTTGAGTACAACCCTAACCTCGAGACTTCGGGCTTCCGTTTCCCTGCCGCATTCATCAAACGTGGGTACTTCAATTCTCACTAGCACAACTATCTCCTCATGAGCTTCTCGGCAGTTTTGGCTAGCACGGTGTGTCTGGCCTCGTGTGCCGCTTCAGGCGAGCCATCTCTTTGCACTATCACCATATTGCCGCTTACACTCTTGGTGGGTCTGGCTGCCATCGGTCGTATCTTCCAGAGCAATTCGGCGGTTGAAGACATGGTCCAGGATGCGCCCATGGGCAGAAGGCGTATGCGCCAAGGGGTCAGCCGCTCAGCACATTCCACAAGGGAGGCCTGACTGGTGAGCCTTATTGGCGCCCTCCCCTGTGATCTTCCCCAAGTGGAAATGCTGATCTTTGATAATTCGGGAAGGTTAGGATCTTCACCATCCCACTCAGTCCAGCTTTTCGGTACCTAAGTGATCCGTGCACACTAATTTCATGAACGTTGGTCATGGAGGAACTGTTGATGCGATGCGACGCAACGTGATGTATACAGCGCAATGTTCTACGATGTTTTCTGGTTTACCTGATTTTTCTACCAACCACTTCTGTTTCAGCGTTTCCTTGGATCCCTGGCTGCTTGCATATACCACTACAGGGTAGCTATCTCTTACCACATATGATACGTATTTTACTTGCTTGTTCAGCCGAAAGTAGATATTCGCAGATAGGCAGAGCAGTACAAACGTACCGGTTGCCCGCCTTGCTTCTACCTCCTTGCGTAGCCAATAACCCTGTAGTATATGGGGAAGAGAACTACGTGGTTCATGTGACGTCAACTAATCAAATTCGTACAACTCAAGAGTAGTTCAAGTCATTGGCTTGCCCCTCTTCGCTGTCTTATCACAACTTCTGGTTCATGGAACGAGCCAGGGTGCGACAAGGCAAACCTGACACAACCTCGAGCCTTGCCGCCGAACCCTACTCTGACAATATCAAGGAAACCAAATCCACTGAGCCCCCGTGACGTGGAATACGGGATAAATGTCGCCTTAATCAAACACGACCTTTCCAAGCGGATATGCATGCGATCGTGCCCCCCGGTGGCTGCATTCCGTCCGAACCACAGAACTGGGGATGAAATAAGGGGCCGCCCAACGCCCAATCTCATCCATTCCGGATACTATGTCCGCAAGGCGCGCCGGAAGCCCCTCCTGGGCCCAAGCGTGGCAGTCCCAGCTCTTGACAGGTGGAGCCTAAAGTTCTTCACATTATGGAGATGTAAGCAGTAAGCAAAGACCTCTCAATAAAACAATGACGAGTTCTCAGTATTCACTTCTGATTGGAGCTCCTCGTCAATCCTATTGCAAAACCAAGTTGCCTATCTTTCCCGTAAAATAGAGTTGTTCCAGACAATCGAACCGCACTCGGTCTCCACCGATAAGCAAAGGGAAATGTCCATATGACGATTTGTGGAGTTGATGGGGAAGCCGGTATTTCGTGCTCTTGGAGTTTCCAGGGTAGTTCGACAAGGACGGGGAGCTGCCTGCATCTCAAGCTGATAATCTACCTCGTAAGTCTTCACCGCAATGTGATGATCCGCACTTTCGCAGCGAGAGTGAGGACTATTGTGACGCTTTGATGCGTGCTGCAAGACAGAAGTACATGCCCTCGGGATTTGGCCCGTTGCAAGACGACCGTTAGGAGACAGATGTTTATTACAGACATCATTGGCCAAAATATAGCCCGACTGGATGCAGAAACAGGTTCTAGACGCAGAAGTATGGATAAACATGTGGTCTGTCAACGGGTGAATACGGAAGCATGTAAGGGCAACTGGGTCTGTTGCATCCATACTGCAGACTATATGCTGTTGCGACGTGAATAACCTGATTTCAGACACCAATTGTGCAGTTCCTCGGACAGCATGACACGAGAAATCCTACTATATGCAGTATACTCGATGATACCTGAATCATGAGCATAATGAAATGGGATTGTACTGACATATCTCGGGATATGATCACTACAGGTTCCCTGAAATAGAGAGGGTTACCACATACCATGGTTGCCATTAGCAAAGGCCACTTGGTAGTGGTGCGCGTGACTATAGCCCCCCACTAAAGTTTCCCTTACACCTCGTGTAGCGCTCATTCTGATTCATGTCTGCCTGTATACCCTAAAGTGTCCTGATTCAGGCGACCTGATTATAGACAGAGCAGCGAAGATATCGGTCTGGTACGATTCTGAGCACTGAAGGTTCTCCATTGCATGTAAAATCACCTAACACTCCAATCGATACCTTACAGCTACTGAGAGCCGAAAAGAGATATGTGCCAATAAAATCTGTCATTGGAACTGTGGATTTCAGTCGACAGATGAATCCCACGCTCAAGACCCACTTCCACTAGCCCCTCTGTGATTCCCAAGCCCAATAGATAATTTCAACGTTCAATCAAAAGCACAAGAGCTTCAGTAAAGACCCTTCTGTGCCCTTTAATCCAATGATCCTCCGTAGAGCAGGAAATTACATCAGGCGTTAACTTTATGATTCATGGAAGCTTGATAGAGCGCCCCTATTACCTTTCTCGTGTGGGATGATAGCCCTCCTGGACCTGCTGTACCGTTGGGCTGCTGCAGGTTTCCCTGACATTCGCATGACACCAACATGGCCTGTCCTATTTGATGTTTGGAATTACCAGGATGAGTAAGAGAACCTCTCAAGGAAAGCTCTGTGATGCGACTGCATCTTGTCCGAGAATTTCCGTCTAAATTGACACTGCTTCATTCACCGTACTTTCATCAAATTTCCCGTGTTGTGCACATGGCCATGCAGCTTCTGTATGCCTATCACCGAGCACATTATGGACCTCATCCATCACCAAGCAGCGTATTTCCCCGATAGCTTTAGCAGCCACTACACCAAAGGTAGATAGCTCTGCGCGAGGCAACAAAATAGACAGTAGCTTTCCTGGATAGGACTAGACTGAAGCACATTATCAGGAGACTCGTAGGGACTTTCAGACAAAACTGGATATAGTAACATCCAACATTGTAACTCTCGGACCTACCTAGAAATGAAGGCGTAATCCCTCAGCCAGCTTTATCCACCACCCGTAGACGTTCGTTGCGATTCTACACTAACCTCGTACTAGTACCGCATGCCCTGGTGGAGTCCACACTCACACGAGTTGCCACAACGGGATACTGTAGGTTCCCCTCAGGGCCGTGCGACAACCACCCATCCAAGCCAACTTGATTCTATCTGCAAAGTATTCTAGCCGATGGTGTATACCTATTCAATAACGGTACAGCAAGCAAGTATAGATTCATTGTCAAAGCGCTTTTCGCCATTAAGACGTCATTGGCATTGGTTGGCCTCCGGAGAGCTCGAGGAAAAGGTATATAAGGACGCCCATTGACTGTCCTTTACGACCTAAGCATGAAAATTGAACTCTCACAAGTACTCAAGCACCAGAACTCAATCTAGTTGTCATATCCATCGAATACTCTGCCTCTTTCCCTTCCCTGCACTCACAATGGCCACTGCCACTCAAACTGCTCTCTTCGGACCTGACCTCTACCCTCCTATTGAGAAGGTATCCGGTCAGCTCTCTGAAGACATGAAGATCGTGACTGAGCTCCGCAAGAGCTAAAACCCCATGATTGGCTTGCAATTGTTCGATGCTCGCAATCCCGTGGGCATCTACGACGCACACATGCGGGCGGCCATCTTCCAGGAATTTCTGGCTTGGACCCGGGATTTGAAGGACCTTCCTGATCCCGAGCTCCTCGCTACGGCAGCTCCCAGCCGTCTGGCCTTTCTGCCTCGTGGTGAATACCTCCTTCGTTGCTTCCGAGAATCTTTCCCCGATGTCCCAGACACCCCCTTCTGGCACGCCGTGGCAGAGCAAGTCTACGGCTTCACCTGGTGTCTGTCAGACAACACCAAGCTCTGCCACGAATGCGTGCACGGGAGCTGCACCGCCGGCGTGCTGGCCTGCTTCCCAGACTACCTCCACTTCTTGGGCGAGCTCCCCGTGGTGCTGGACATCTGCACGCAGCGCGTCAGCGAATACATTGAGCACGTCCACCGAGACCACGGACCCGGCCCGCACCGCAAGATCATGGACGCCTGGCTGATGTGCGTGCAATCCGTATATCTGGACGTGTTGCATCCCAAAGCGACAGAGTTGAAGTTCCCCGACGACGAGCGGCGGAGCATCAGCTACCGGCTGATCAACTCGGCGGGCCGTGCATTAGCCCTGCATGCGCAGCTGGAACAGCCGCTGATCGGCACGGACGAGGAAGTGGATGCCGTTTCGTTTGCGTCCACTGTGATGCATGATATCTGTGACTATCGGCATGATAATATGGCCAAGGAGTATTACAATCTGTTGACGATTGTCAGTGTGCACCAGGAAGTGCCTGGCACGGCCATGGTGCGACGATTCTGCATTGATGTGTGGGCGTGGGCGCTGGACAACGGCGCCCTGTGGGCCATTCATCTGGCAGGCCGCGAATTGGCCTGGCAGATCTACATGGCGCGGTATCAGACCGGGTTGTTGCTGGACAAGTTGATGCCTCCTTGCAGTCCGGGGTCTGATGTGGACCCGTACGGCGATGCGGTGCTGAATGCCATGAACCCGATGCTGAAGGCAGTGGGACGCAGCGACCAGCTAGGGAACTATTCGTTGCGAGACCGGTGCCAGAACCCGCAACGCTACGATGAACTGCTCCAGCACTGTGTCCTACATTTCAAGGAGTGTTCGAGATGCCGGGGCTACGATGCGATGACCTGGCAGGAGCGGGTGCCGGCCATCGGAAAGGCGTATGAGAAGAAGTATACGGACTGCAGCTGCATGAACATCATCAGTGCGTATATGATCCTCACCTCGCCCGATCGGCTGTGGTGGTTGGCGGATCCAACTGCTGAGTATACTGGACCTCAGGAGAAATGGTCGGCGCTGTTGTGCTAGACGTCTGATTAGGCTGTAGCAATTGTCAGCCGAGACAAGCCTATTCACGCAAGAATGCCTTGTGATCGTGTTTTTTTGTTGCTAGCTTCTTTGTCTGAACTGATCCAGAATGGAAGTAATGAGTTCTCAGTAGTTGAATTTGAAATCAATCCGCTTATGCGATGATGTTGTGATCTTGATTGTAGCCCCGTCGGTGGTTGGAATAGTAGTAAAGTCCAATTACAACTATTCTGCTGTCTGCACCATCTTGTCCACAGTGACAATAGTGATAGGGTTCTGAATGTCTTCTCGACGGTTCACAAAAGCCATCAGTCGCTCCTACATATTCCAAGCTTAGCATCCATGGGACACGATTATTCTTCACTTCTTAAGACATGCAGTGACTGGAGTAGCGCTGGAGGGTGCCGTTCCTAGGCCGGCTCATCAAGTTTTATCGAATCCCTTTTCCAGGCCATTTCATGTAATTGAGCTACGATAAATGACGTGCTAAAAGCACGAAGTCCAGAAATGAGCAAGTCATCTGATGTCCGCTCAGATCAGTTCCATCGCAGCGGCCTCCATGCGACCTGCAACATGGTAATCCAGGTTTTCAACCCAACCGATCAGCTTCCAACTCAGATGTTCCTCCCATGTGACTCCAGTGGAAACGAGAATAGCTTGTATTGTCATCCGTGCCATGGTGCTAGTAATAATGTCGCAGATATGGTATCCCAAACTCCAAAGACTTCAAAAAGAATAATCGAGTCATTCAACTATGCAAAACTCGAAAAGGTCATTGTACAGTGGCGTCCATCTGCTGCCCCTACGCTTCGTTCAGCTGGCGTTTAAGCTCCTCGGCCTCCTCGGGAAATTCAGCGTAGTAGTCGGCGTACAACTCCAGCAGGGCCGTTGCGTTGCTTCGCTTGGCGATGGGAATAAATTGGACCTAAACAGTTCGGTTCTGTTAGCAAACCCAGGGAAACCCGTAATAGATCCATTTCGGGGCATATACCTCGTAGGTAGTGAACTTGTCGCCGTTGATGCACTTGCCGGGCGGCAGGGCAAAGCCGTTGCCATTGCAACTCGATTCAGCAAACGCCGTGAGAACATAGTCGCCAGGTGAACCCTTAAGAGACTTGGAACTGCTCGAATCCAAGGTCAGACACGTATCCGTTTTTGAGCTACTCGAATCCGTTGGGTTGTCCCCCTTGCAATCCTTTTGGGAGTAGCCATGAATAGTAGCGGCCTGGGCGAAGGCACTGAAAGCCAAAGCGAGAAGGATGGACTTCAACTGCATAATGGGCGACTGAGATCAAAAGAAAGCAAGGTGAGACAAAGCGTTGGAACGAGTGTATGTTGGTGGAGGTAGTAAGGACGGGCAAGGAGAAAGATGGACTGGTCCAGTGGAAGGATAAGCAACGGTCAGGAGAAAGAGCGATGGGCGAGGCGGCGGCGGCGGCGGCGTCGGCAATCAAATCAGCCTGGACTGGACGTGTGGTGGGTCAGGAGAGAGGGAGAGAAAAAGGCCAGGAGCAAAAAATAGCCATGAAACAGGAACCGACCGAGGACCAGTGGGGGCCGGGCTGGGCAAAACGGCGGCTGGATTCGCGGATGGGAAGCCATGGATGGAGTCCGATGGATGGACTAGTGGCCGCTAGCCCGGGGAGTAAGACGCGTCATTGGCGAATGAAGCCCATCAGGCTTCCACGGCGATTTCCAAGGATCGGACACAGTGCAAGTGGCAGTGATTGGCGGCGGTGGGTTTCATGATCTGGATGATCATCCTGACAAGCAGAACATGTATATAGATGCCGAGTTGGTGCGTGAAGAATATGCAAAATAAGCCGAACGGGGATTGTTCTTTCTGATGTTTGATTTGATTGAGATGAAGGAAGAGGGAAGAGTTCGTCATGAAGTTATTCAGAGTGGGAATATTGGATCAGGTTAGCGATCAGGTGAGCGGGTGAGGCCAACAAGGCAGCAAATCCACCCGAACAGGCCTAGTGGCCAGGCACCCACAATCTCCCTCAATCTTTTGGTTTTCTTCTTCATCGCAACATCCATCAGAGATATTCAAAACGACGGGATATTGCACTTTCCCTCTGGACTAAGCCTCATTTCAGGGGATATTAGTCTACATCAAGCCACCTGGAATTGATTTTCATTTGCACCACCTCAAACAGCAGGGGATCGGTAACTATCGACGATCCTCGAAGCGTATTTACTATGTACATACTCCGTACTGCTTATAGGGGATCTATTTTTATCCCTCTCTAGTGGTCGGTCCACCGCTTCAACAATGAACTAAAATGTGTCAAGCTTCAGTCAAACCAGGTACCACAATTGCTTATCTTGTGCTAGACTATAAGTGTTGTGGAAAATAGGTATGATGTGTATGTTGCTAGCCAATAGTCTCGCGGTTTTTCACAGCTTCCTCACTGACCATCCTCCAGATCGTCCTGGCGGCCCTCCCAACTTCCCAGGAGGATTGCCAACCCAGCCGCCCCATAAAGTCCACTCACCAGCAAAAACGGCGCCCCCGTCCATACTCCACCCCTTGCCAGTCCCCAGCCATACGCCGTCGCCATCATCGGCCCGGCCACCAATACTCCGATTCCCTGCATCACCGCAATCGCCGTATACAGCGTACCCATGTGATGTGCGTCAACGAGCGACGTGATAATGCGCCGAGCAAATAGATGCATCGCTGACCCAAGCGCATACACTACCAGCCCCAATACTGTGCCCGCTGGATGGCTGGACAGCGCAATTAGCAGACATCCCACGCCCATGCAAGCGCTACTCGTCAGAGCCAGTCTAGTGTTTTTGGTGAATGGGGACATGCGCCGTCGCTCTATGAGCCAGTGCGATATGCCTGGCAGGATTACCAGAAGCAGCAGTAGTCTAGTAAATCCTCGCACGGGTATGAGGAAGCTGGCCTAGAAAGGAAAAATGTTAGGTCTGGCCATATCGTGGTTTTTCCCGGTTCCACTCACCTGCGCAATCGTCCAATGAAACCGGTCGACAGCGAAGAGCAGAAGCAGTTTCATTACCTGCATTCCCAAATACGCAATAAAGAACACCGCCAAGAACAGTTGCACCCGGCGATGTCGCCAGATCACAGCGATTGACTGGCCCAGCTCATCAACTGCAGCTCTGATGCGCCCCCGGATATTCTGTCGTTGTGATACTTGCTCCGATGAAGACGATTGGCCGGGTGGTGTCTGTGGTAATGTCTCCGGTAAGAGAAACAGGAGGAGGCCACCAGCAGCATTGAAAACAGGCGATAGTAGATACGGTAGCCATATATTCTTCGTCATGAGCAGGGCACTAAGCGGAGTGGCCAGAATCTCGCTGACGAGCACCGTGGCCGCTACGTAGAGGAATGCCGTGGTTCTAGACTTTGTGAGCTAGGTAATCCTCCACTAGAGGCATGGAAGTCTCTTACTGCTCTTCGTCGCTGAAAAGATCAGCGAGTATGACATACATCATGGAAGTGGCTACTTGGGTGCCACCACCCAACACTTGAGCTATTGGACCAAGCCAGATCAGTCGCAGCGGGAGTTGATCGGAGAACCAACCTGGACGGTAATCAACCGCATCAGTTATTGAGATCTAGGAGTACCTCATCTATAGGATTCGCGCTCACCGACAGCCTTGGTCCACGCATCGCTCAGCGTGAATCCCACCGCGCATAGAAGCAACACCGGCCGACGTCCGATCCGGTCGGCCAGCACGCCGTATGGCACCGCGAACAATATACCTAGAATATGTCAGTCGAGCTCTGATAAATGAAGAAAGTGATCCCTACCCGGCACCTGCTCCAGCGTATCCTTCCAGCCCTGTAGGAGAGCCACCTCCCTCTGCACGCGGTCCATTTGGCATTCCGGCCCATCCTGCCCTACGGGACAGAACTTGCGAGTGACGATCTCGAGCCAGACTTCAGTCTGGGGCGCCTGAGAGAGATACTCGGCAAAGTCTTGAACGAGGATAATGAAACAGATCAAAGCCAGTACCCGCCATCGCGATGACCGCTCTTTCGGCTGTTTGGAGGGTTCGAGTAGAGGCGTGTATTCGCTGGCAGCCATAAGGGAAGGAAATTATGATTGCGCCTGGAACCAAAATGGACCATAGAGGGGAAGAAAAGGGAGAAGGGGGGAAGCATGGATATCACTTTTGGGGTTGCTATGGCTTGCATATCCCTGGTGCCTGTCAGCCTTTCGACCAGCTCAGGATAGGCCCCGATAAGGTCATCCCCGGCGAATCATGGGGCGCATCAGCCGCCCTAACGGTCGTCCGTTGGGAAACACGCTGTACGTATAGATTGGCTCAACCCCTGTCGCCGTAGTCAAGCTGTCCGGTTTTGGGGTCGTACACCCCAGTCAGCTCGGACGTCCGGGTGATCCCTCCGCGAGGTGGCTGAGGCTTATTGCAGCCAGTAACAATGGAAGCATCATTCTTTGTCCGATTGAATAATATATATCCTTATCAGAGTTTATCGCGGTCAAGGAATTAGCTTGAAACAGTGGACCACTGAATGACTTTGTCTCAGCCAATTTATTGGTCCTTACTACGCCGACGTCAACAATCCTTGTTCTGCCATTAAGGGCACACCCAGGGTTACATATCGCCGTATGACAAGGCCAAAACAACAGGATAGTCTGCAATATCTGACCTCATGCGGTCCATCGCCAATTTGGATCCTTCCATCCGCCCACCAGCGACTTGGTCGACACGTCCGCCGCGGTGAGTCTCACTCCTTGCTCGCGATCGCGACGCCGGTTATCGTAGCGGAAATACGTTCCCATCCCCAGGATTACCAGCACTCCGAAAAGGAGGAATGCGCAGTTGACGATTAGCGCCGGCTTATATCGCGGGGCTGTATCTGCCTTGAATGCCAGACTGGACGGGATGCCAGCACAGTTGGCCGCGCCCACCAGGAATCCTACCGTCGCGGCACGCTGCGATTCGTCGGTGACATTGTTCGTGTGCCAACTATGGAAGACAGAGCTGGGCACGAAAGCCCCGGCTGCCAAAAGAAAGCACGCAAAGTAGGCAACACCCTGGTGCTCTGACGCGTCCACCGCGATCAAGATGATGTACCCGACAAACGTGATCATCAGCGAGCCTGCCAAATGTATGGAACGTTCCCGGAAGTGATCAGATGATTTGCAGATAATCCATAGCACGACCGTGCCGACACAGTACGGCGCCACCGTGTAGAGGTTCGTCTTGATGGTGGAATACCCCAGGAGAGCCACCATCTGCGGTAGGAAATTGCTAACGGAGGTCTGGGCGACGCCGTAGCAGAAGCAGCTGACAGCCCATGCTAGCACACGCCAGTCACTCAGCGCCGCCAAGGCTTCGGTGATCGAGAGCTTCTCGCCCGTTCGCACCGACCCGTCCTGCAGCAGGCGCATTTGGGCCGCGCGAGCTTCAGCTTCGTTGAACCAGTGGCATTGGGCGCCGCTGGCGGGGAGCCACCAAAGCGAGAAGGATGCGATGATTAGGGTGGCGCCGCCTTCGATGAGGAAAAGGTACTTCCAGCCTGGGAGGTGGTGCTTGATTTGAAAGACGCCAAAGGAGATGAGGCCGGAGAAGGCACCTAGAGACGTCAGAAGGATCAGGTATCAGAGAAGGGATACTCACCAGCGATCGTGACCATGCCGTAGAAGATACTCAGTCGAAAGGCGATCTCGTTGCGTTTGTAGAACTGCGTGAGGTAGAAGATCACTCCAGCTGGTGCGGTCAGCAAGCAGGTCAGCAGCGGAAGCTTTCACCTACCAAAGAACCCTGCTTCGAAGATCCCCATGATCAAACGGCAGACTAACAGGCCTGCAAAGTTGAACACGGCGCATTGCAGCAGTGTGATGGAACCCCTGGGGCTATGGTTAGCGGGATCAGATATACCAGAAAGGTAACCCACCATCCTATCATCATTGTCGGTAGCATCACCTTTCCGCTAAATTTTTTCAACATCAAGTTGGACGGCAGGTCAAACAAGCAAAATGTGACGTTGAAGACCGCCAATATGACATTATACTGATTTCCGACCAGGTGGAGGTCGTTCTCGAGGCCATCTGTTTTAGCATTACCCAGGTTGGAGCGGTCGAGGGAGTTGAAGAAGTACATGAGCGAGAGGACCGGAAGCAGCCTGCAAATGAGCATTTCTCCAGCAAGCAAGAGGATGGAGGAAGTACCGGAAGTCCAGCTTGCGCACGACCGACCGCTCCGCTGCGGCGTCGATGGGGATGGAGTCTCCTACTACGACACCTGCTTCTTCTGCGACAGCGTGTGACTTGTAGTCATCTTTCTGCGTGTCCATGGCTGGATTTGGTGAATGTTACAGTGAGACAGTGGTCAAATATATGCCTCAGACAATTACGAGGTATTTTCTGTCTTTGAGAAAGGACGCTCGATGGACAATCGGGAGCAGCCCGAGGATATATGCTTCAGTTCACTATCATCTTCGCTGTCGAAGTCAAGAGTCACATGGCATATCGACTCTGTCACTTATCGATCCTGATGCCAGCAACAGATAAGATGGAAGATGACATCAAACAGGCTCCCCTTCGTATCATTCCGCCATGAGGAGTAAATCCAACGCATATCAGGGTTGGATTGCCGCAAATGGAAGCCCAGGCGGGCCAGCCCGATGCCAGCGATGAGATGATAGATAACCCCTCTCTGGAACACATCATCTTCGTCCTTGTGGCATCATCGCCATCGTCCTCATTCCTTCCAGGAAGGTCCATCCATCCCGTTGTCTGCAGCAGCCCCGCGTTATCAGTGTGACCAGCATTAAAGGGTGGGGGTGTCCAGCTTCTCCGCACGACCAACTTTATCCTATCAGTAGCTTGGCAGCGCCTCTGTCAGAACCAATCCACAACTATAAATTGCACCGGCCCTGATAAGCGTGCACCAGTTACTGTGTATCTACCGTACATTGATCATGTCTGCTCCTGTCGACAAAACTGCCCCGGTCGCCATTGTTGGCGCGGGCGTGTTTGGCCTCTCCAGCGCTATTCATCTGGTTCGGAGGGGATACCACAACGTCACCGTCTTTGACCGCCAGCCCTACCACGAGACGCTTTACGACTTTGATCGTGGCTGTGATGCCGCATCTGCAGGTACTGCGCACCGCAGCCAAGTAGATACTTATGCTAATGGCAACTATCAGATTGCAACAAGATCATACGGGCTGCCTACGGCCACGAAACATGGTACCAGAACTTCACCCTGGAAGCAATCAAGGCATGGGAGGCGTGGAACGACACCCTCGCCGAAGGGACAACTCTACCCCCTGGAATGACTCGCAAAGAACGCATCTATGTCAACTGCGGCAACTACCATTTCGGTGACCACGGCGATACAGCTGGCCTGAACCCCTTCGAAAAGGCCTCGGTAGAGAACCTGACCAAGGCCGGCCTCGGGCACACTCAGTACCTTTTTGCGTCCAATCCGCAAGAAGCCACCCGAGCCAAAGCAGACGGCTATGACTACGCAGTCGACCCCTTCCACCTATCGCGCGACGGACAACAACCAAGCGGATATCTCGATATGATCGGGGGATTCGTCTACGCCGACAAGGCATGTCGTTACGCGCTCCATCTAGCGGAGAAACTAGGCGTCAAGCTCATTTTAGACCGCCAAGCTGGTCGCTTCGAGGATCTCCTCGAATCCAATGGCGAAATAACCGGAATTCGCACCGCCGATGGCAAGCATCATACGGCAGCCTTAACCATTGTTGCCTGCGGGGGCTGGACACCGACCCTCGTCCCAGAAATGGACGGGCTCTGCGAAACCACCGCGGGGTCTGTAGCGATGATCCAAATCCCGGAGGGTTCTCCACTCCGCCAACGCTTCTCGGCATCTAACTTTCCCGTCTTCCAATGGAACGTGCGCAGCGGCGAAAACGGCAATCTGTATGGCTTCCCACTGGATGATCGCGGAGTGCTGAAGATCGGTTATCGCGGGACGAAATACACGCATCCGCAGGTTCAGTTAGATGAACAGGTGCGCAGCGCCCCGATCACGAAATGGACGGCTCCGTCTGTGTCTGGATTGCCAGAAAAGTCTGTCTCGGTTATTCAAGGTTTCCTGGATCGGTATATACCCGAACTCAAGGAGGCGGGAATAGGGATCTCTCAGACGCGGTTGTGCTGGTATACGGACTCGTATGATAATCATTGGGTGATTGATCGGGTGCCCGGGAAGAAGGGATTGATGGTGGCTACGGGTGGTAGTGGCCATGGGTTCAAGTTCCTGCCGGTGTTGGGACAGTTGGTAGTGGACCGTGTGGAAGGAGTGCAGTCGGAATTGTTGGAGTTGGTGAAGTGGAGGAAGTTGGGGGGTGGAGAGAAGGGGTCGAATGAGCTGATGAGAGGGTTCAAGGATGGGAATGCGTTGCAGAAGGTGAAGTTAGTGGGTGAGCCTGGGAAGGGAAGTCGGCTGTAAGCCTTGGGTGCCCTACAATGTTCAAGTTGAAGATAGGCTTATGAGCCTCGAAAGCACAAAATACGATTGTCTATGTTATCACTCTCAGGTATCTGGGAATTTGATATTTACAAAATCACCCTTTATTTCACTGTATCTAATTTTCCTGGCATCACTGTTGCCGTTGGCTTCGCTTCTTGAGATCATCCGAATACTCAGAGCATCAAACCCAATCACTCCACCTCGTATGCCGATACGCCAGCGGTACCTGCGGCCCTTCGGCCTCGAGCAAATAACCATGCTCACACCAGCCAAACTGCACCCGTACCTGACGGACATAGAATCCATCGAACGTGTCGTCTAACGCACCGAGCAAACTATGCACATCCCCATAAGGATGCAGCGTCCGCCACGGCTGGATGCAAGTATCTCCTTTGCACGACTTGAGCACCATAAGCAGGGCATCAAGACGGGTGGAGATCTTGACGGCGGAGTAGGATCCTATTTTGGATGCTGCTAGATTTGGGTAGAGGTTGTGCACTTGGTAGGGGTCCGTCTATGCATATGTGTCAGTATCGTACGTAGACTTGGTGGCATGGTAGGGCTGACATACAGTCAAATCGTAGAGTTCGTGCTCGCCACTGCACCAGACAGAGTAGTAGAGGTTAAAGTCGGGGCTGATCAGCCTCAATGCCTTGTAGGTGTTATTGATAAAGGTAGCAGGTCCACCGTTTTCTGTCATACTCCATTAGCATATCCCTCACAGGCTGTAAAAGGCAGGACGATACTCACCATCCCGACCAAACGCACCCTCAAACCCAGCCCACCCCCAATACTCGACATTAACATGTTCATGTCTGCCCCCATCCATATCCGCAGCATGAATCTCCTTTGTTGTCAATGGAATCGCCACCCCATCCAGCTCACCCTCTGCTTCACCACCCACGATATCCAAGATAGTCGGCGCCAAATCAATGTGCGTCGTCACCGCACTCACCTCCACTCCCCTCGGCACTCCCGGTCCCCTCACAAACATGGGCACACGAATATCCTCATCAAATCCACACTCCTTACCAGGATGTAACCGATGCTGACCGATGTGGTACCCGTTATCCGAGGTATAGAAGATATACGTATTATCCAGGATACCCGCATCATCAAGTCTAAGAACTATCTTCTCAACGAGTTCATCCACACCCTGCAACGAACGGAGTCTATCGCGGTAGAACTCATCATTGTAGGCAACGCTCTCAGCATCTTGCTGCGGGAGGGACCGCACCCAGCTAACTCCACTAGGATGGTCAGGGTTGAAGTTGGGGGTTCGGGGGATCTTCGCATCCTGAAACAGATGTTTATGTTTTTCTAGTGGAATAGGAGGAGAGAAGCGGAATGTCGTGGTGTCATTCTCGTCCGTCATGTTCAGGTTGGAGTGCGGCGCCACTGGGGCGACGGTGAGGAAGAATGGCTCGTCGCCGGCGATAGCATCGTCGAGGAACCCGAGGGCCTTTTTAGTGATTACCTCAACGGTATGTTGGCCCTCGTAGCTAGTTGGAGGGTCCTGGTTCCGTTGGTAGTGAGGACGAAGGTACTGGTATGTGTACGGGTCGAGGAGGAAGTCGGAGGCGTTGAAGCCCGTGACGAAGGGGGCATTGTAGTTGTCCACGGTGTGGGCGTTGAAGAGTTTCCCTGTGTAGTATGTGGAGTAGCCGGCTGCTTGGAGCCAGAGGGGGAGCCAGTTCTCGTTGTGGCCTTCGGCGACGAATTTAGGGTATCCTCCTGGAGTTTTCTGTTAGCGCTTTGGGTTGGGGTAGGGTTGAGGGGCATACCGTATGGGGGATAGATCTCGGTCACGTTGGTGTTGTGCGCTTGCTTGCCGGTCCAGAGACTCACTCGTGAAGGACAGCACAAGGCGGTAGTGACGAAGTGGTTGCGATAGAAGGCGCCCTGGCTGGCGAGGTAGTGGTTGATGCGTGGAGTATAGTGAAGGGAGTCCATTTGCAGGTCCTGGTCATCGACGAGGATGAAGACGATGTTAGGACGACTGCTGGAAGAGTGGGTTGCTACATGATGGTCTTGTAGGACATTCTGGCTATCTGGTTTGCCAATTGCTGCAAAGGAGTCAATGGACGCCTGTGCCAGAGAGGCGAAGGCGAGAAGTGAGAGTCCTTTCATGGTTGTAGTATTATTGTGGTTTATTTACAACGTAGCGGGACCGCGAAGGTCTGCTCTTTACTTAAGTATTCTTGAAAGGCACCACCACCCCACTTGAGATGCTATCAATTAACTTATCCATTGGACAATGCGATTCCTGCTGATGCTCGATGCCGATCTGTCGTGGAAGCGAAATGCAAGGGATGGCGTGATTGGCGCTAAATCACCACCATCCGGACGAGCTATATCATCGGTTGTGGATTGCGCGTACTGTTCTTGGGATGAAGAGTTGCTCAACTTCATTAATGAGTTGCTATGTACACAAACTTATCAACTAGGCGAGAATATATCCTAGGTATCTGGATATATTTCCCTTAAACCCGCCCCCCTTTGTACATCTACACCACCAACCTAAGCGATCGTAATGTTCTGGCTGAGGGTCTGGAGGTACGGCTCAAACGAAGCCTAAAACACAAGTACAATCAGCAGAGATCCAACAGTTAAAATGACATTCAACTTACCCCAATAAGGGAAGCATGAGCAACACCCAGCACCGCCTTGCCCGAAGCAGTGCCCTCGGGAATGGTGACGGTGAAGTTCTGGTACTGAGGCAAGTACCACTCGTGGTACTCGGGGTCAAAAGCGCCATTGTACAGGACGTGGCCCAAGACCTCCGAGGCCGGGTAGCAGGTGGCAGAGGCGCAGGACTGCAGGCCGATGGCGATGGCCATTTCCTCGACGTTGGTGGGGGGAGTCTATCGCAGAATATCTGGTTAGTCTAACTGAGACAGTTTACACCATTCAAGGTCGGGAATAACAGCATCGCAGGACTTACCGGACGCTCAATCTGGACCGTCACCTGCTGGCCTGCCTGGACAGTCTGGCCAGCCTTGGGAGAGGCAATCTGGACATTCTGGGCCAGTGCGGTGGCAGCAAAGGCAGTGACGGCGGCGAAAGTGAATTTCATGATGGCGATGGCGATGGAAATGAAAGAGATGCGGGAAATGGAGTTGGAATGGCTATGATGGGAAGAGCATGAAGAGGACAGCTCCGACCCGGAGTAACCCGGGGTTTATATGGACACCTACAAGCTGGCGAGGGCATGATGATGGGAGGTGTTGAAGTGAGACATGCGGAGGCCGGATGATAGAAATAGCAGCTCCAGCTGGGGATATGGGGCAGCCGAGGGGGAAATGATTGGCAGGGTTTCAGCTAGTGAGTGTCGATCGGATGTCAAGTTGATGGATCTCATATTGGGAGGTGAAACCTATACTTGTTTGTGTAGGCATTTGTAGTTACAGGCGCGGTGTCCATATAGGGCTATATATTTCAGGGTATTTATAGGAGGTTAGAAGTAGATCCGAAGACCCGTAGCTACTTGGAATATATTGATGCCTGTGGAAGGTGGAGAGGAAAAGGAGAGCAAGAAGCAAAGAATAGGAGAGACTTCAGTTATTTGTTATTAATTTAATCAGTCATGCATTGTGCATAATTATTTATACTTATTGTAGAATGACTCAGGTGGTGCATGCACAAGTCACATGATGGATGTTGATGACTGATTTCTCGGCAACTGGTCGGCAGATAAACATTAATCAGAATGATGGTATGATCTAACTAGTGAGAAAAGCCATCATCCACGATAGGGATAGTGGAAGCTTAACTGGACGCCTTATATATCGCAGGGGAGTCATTATCCACTGGTGGCTAAAGTGGTGGCTGGTTATTGCCACTGACAGGAAAACTACTACCACTTAAGTACCATTATATATTCATCCCATGATGACTTAGGGTACACACTGATGATCATAGTTGGGAAACAACGAACACCACCAAACCATCATGCAGTGAGACTGAGATAGCAGTGCTGCATTATCCAGTAGTAAAAATGCAAGTGTCACCATCATCATGTCGATCTATCACACAGTAGTAAAGTAGCAAGTAGTATTCTCGGTGGTATCAGCCCATCTCACCTCAGCGGCAATCACACATCCACTACATCATGACATAGGTTGGAGTGGACACTGGAGATACATACCACTCGGGACCCCCACTGGATCCATCCCATCGCAACATCAGCGGAAATAATGATCCGATGGCGTGCTTACAAGTATGCTTCCACTTCTGTTCGATCGGTTCCTCCGGATAGGGATCGTGGTTGTGACGTTGCAATGTCGCCTGCGGTGGGCATGGACCTCCGCCCTCCCCGCGTCATCCGGACATTCGCCCCAAACCTTGAACCTGGACTCGATCCAGTGGGCAATCCAACGCCACCACAAGGCTTATCTCCCTAATACGAGGCTTAATCAAGCTGTATACAAATAGAAGAAAGTAAGATGATGATAATGTAGAACTCTATTGCGAACAGGGTCTTGATCTATCGCTGGGAAAGAAAAATTGAATAAGATCAAAAAGAACATGGGGAGGTATAGTGCTGGTGCAGAGAATATTGAGAGTGTTCAGGGCAAATGATGAGGAGCAAAGATGACAGAAAAAAGACCCGCTCGTGTATCAACAGGGCGCTCGTAAATGTATTCACACAACAGAAAATCATAACCATCGAGTCATATGTACATCAAATGCAAATGCAGTGGAGGGGGTATTTGCAAGGGAGGAGGTTTGGCCCCGGTCGGAGTCGCCTCCCCATCGAATTAATCACACAAGAAATGCTTTACTCCGGAGCGGCGCAAGTGAACACACCACGCACGGATCCGCTGCGGTAGTTGAGAATCTAAGCACAGGAAATATTAGCATAGAATTCACAAATAGGGAAGGGAGGAAGAGGGCTCTTACAATGTCGTCGACACTGGCATAGGTACCAGCCCCCAGCGTCACCAGACCAATAATCAAACAGCACAGGTTCAGGGCCCCCAGCATCAGGTTCTTGGGCGTGTTCCACTTGCCCTCGCGCACCAGCAAGAACCACATCAGCGCGGGGAAGTAGAATGTGAAGCCCGAGATGAAGAGCGAGGAGGAGATGGACAGCAAATCCGAGAAGAAGGGGATAACCTCGGCGATCACAAACGCCACCCAGGTGATGACGGTGATCAGCGCCAGCCAGGTGATCCAGCCCATCTTGGTGTTGATGAAGCGGATGGTCGAGTTCTTGAAGATCCGCCCGTGGATCATGCGACCCAGCACCACCGTGTTGATGGAGCCACTGATGAAGATAACAGGCAGCGCAATGCCAAAGGCCACACGCTTGACCATGCTGCCCGCGGACAACAGAGCGGGGCTCTGCACATCCTGACCAACAAAGGCGTAGATCAGCGCACCCGTCAGCGTGTAGATAACAATTTCAATGAGACCCAGGGCCCAGATGGACTTGACGTAATCCTTAGGGGTGTGCATCTCATCCATGAAGGAGAACTGGCACATGGCGAAACTGTAGGCGAAGACGATGTTGGTAACGGCAATGAAGGCGTCGGTGAAGGTGATGCCTTCCTTGGGCCAAGCGGACCAGTTGACCCCGGAAAGACCAGCCGTGGAGTCGGAGGCCGTGATGCCCGTGGCGATCATGGTAATCAGGATGGCAGCAATGATGGAGACAAAGTCGACGTAGCCCAGAATGGCCATCTCAGCGAAACTGGGGGGCACGGCGAAGAGCAGCAGGATGATGGCGGAGACAACAGCGAACACGACGGAGCAGACGCCGCTTTCGGTAATGTTAATGAAGGCGATGGTACCCGTCAGACAGTGCGAGCCCGTCAGGAAGAGCAATTGCAGACCCAGCATCACGTAGACAATCTCGTAACCCACCCGGCCGAACATCAGACGTCCCGCCTCGGGGTAGTGGGCAACGTCGGGGAACTTCAGCTTAACCTGACCGACGACGTAACTGGTGTAGATGGCGACAAAACCTAGTCCCACGGTCAAGATGACACCGGCCACCATACCGAGGGTAGCGAAACTGCCGGGAATGGACAAACTTCCCAGCGCAATGGCCTCGACGATCAGCACGACCGTCAGGCGCTTCCATCCCAGACGGTTATATTTTTCGATACCGGCCTCGTAGATGTTCCGCTCGCCCTCGCTCATCTTCTCCACCAGGTCGCCGTCAAACTGGGCGGCACCACCATACTTCTCACCCCCCATGACATTCTGGGACTTGTTGTCCGTACCGGAGATCTCGTCACCGTAACCCATGATGATCACGTTGTTATTGTTATATATGTATAAGATAGAGTGTAGTGGAAGGTAGTGTGAGAGGGCAGAGGTGAGCTAGTGGTAGTGGCGGTTGGGTGAAGGAGGGTAGAGTGAGTAAACACACAGTGCCCTGTCACACACCGATTGCCTTGGGGTGAGGGTTTCGGGGAGAGGGGGAGGAGGAGGAGGAGGAGGAGGAGGAGGAAGAAGAGAGAGGTGTGTGAGTCTGGAGAAGAGAGAGGAACAAGAGGGAAGAGGGAGGGTTTTGAATGGGAGCGGGACGGAAATTCACCGCAGGCACAGAACCGTCCGCCCAGACTGAGCACCAAGAGTGAGAGCGCGAGTAGGTAGAGAGAGGGTCGGATGAATCCGGGCACCGCCGCAGAGGAGCTGATAAACGAAGGGGAACAGACCAACGAGAATGGAGCAAAAAAGAACATTTCAACCAGTTTCGTAGTTTTGTGGTGGCCATCAGACGATGGAGAAACCAGAAAGTGACCACCAAAAAAAGTGGAAACGATTTGGTAATGAGATAGAGTGGCGGTTGCTAAGGTTTGCCAGTTTATCTGCTCTCCACGTGGGGACCAAGCTCCCGCCACTTCTACAATTGCACCAATGAGGTTCCATATATTAGTGCCTAGCCCGTCTAGGCATCCGGAAATGGACTAGCGCCCACCAGGGGTTAAGCCCCAGGGTGACGTTGGAACTTCAGACCTTACCCGTTTGGGGTTAGAGTTGACCCCGACTCTAGTTCCCATTGCGGACAAGTAACCGGTGGTCACTCTGGTCCAACCCAACCGGACTGAAAAGGCTAAAAAGGCTATTCACGTTAGCCTGCATTTTCCCCCAGACTCGAGGACCGATGATTAGCCCGTGGCAGCTGGCCGCGCTTGCAGTAAGTAGTAACTAAGTAAGTCTAGTGCTCCTCCTCCTCCGCCCTCCCTCCCTCTCCGTCGTTCCCGATCGACGCCGTCCTCTTACTACGTTCGGGGTGTCCGGCGCGAAGTTTATTTGCACCCGGGTCAGCCGTGAGGCTGAACGGGCTGAACGCTGTATCTTTATGTATGGGGATGTAAGGAGGTATCCATAAGCGTGTACTTATCCTACTACTTGGCGGGATGCACTGTCCCGAGGATGGGGAACACAAGGGACAGCAGCACGAGAGAGGATTGGCAGGCACACACACACCCATGGGCACACCTCACCGGGCGGAGGAAGATGAGAGAGAAAGAGAGAGAGAGGGTCGGGTTCTGACTCGGGAACAGGCAACGGTGGAAGCGACGCTGACCTGCAACATCAGAAACAACCCAAGAAACACCGGCGTAACCTTTTTCCTGACGAGGTGGAGATGATTAATCTTCTAGAAGCCTGACGAATGCGGCAAGTGAAGCCACCACTTGGCAGGCCTTATCAAGGTTGATGACCAATTGCTATCGCTCACACACTGAATCCGGGCGGACGTGTGAGCACCGAAACAGCAGTAATTACAGCGAGTTGTTGGAGACATACTACCTAAACTAGTCTAGTTCCACCAGGTCCTTGGCTGATCCCGGCGCTTATCTTATCCCGCTCGTCTCACACCCTCCTTCTCTCTTTCTTTAATTATTAGCTCTCGGTTTTACTCATGGTGACCTGATGGGTGACCCGGGCCGAGAGATACTAGTCTACAGTACTAAGTATTGTGACTCTCGGGTTTGACCAACATGCCGACCTATCTATCTATCTGCCTATCTCATAATTAAACAGAGTACGAAGGAGTACGTAGTAAGTAGTTAGTCTATCTGCTGATCTTTGTCTCAACACCATCCGCGTCACCCGCGACCATCATTCATCTCCGACCGGGATGTTGTTCACCCTTCTGGGCAGTCAGGCAGGAAGTCAAAAGTGAGGCAGTTTATTCCGCGTTGGAGGTGGTACTGTAGTGGTGTTTGTTGATTGATTGTTGGAGAACCAAACCATCCTCAGGCAAGGCAACCTTCCTCCGAAACAAACAACACAAACTAACTTTACTTACTCCAACTGCTGCTGGCTGAAATGCGCTAACCTCCTTTGGGACCAGCCCGGATCCGACGTGTGAACTTTGTCCCGCCCGCCCGAAGTTTCCAAACTTTCCCTTTTTCGTCTCCCTCCTCTCTTACTCCTCCCTCTTCCCCCTCTTCCCCCTCTTCCCCCCCAAGACTCCGCAATTTGCGTGCAATCTATCGCGACCACCTGCTTAATTGTCCTGTCTCTTCTCTCCCTCTCTCCCAGAGATACATGCAGTCGTGAAACCTATCACTATCCTCGCGTCTCTCATCTCAGTATGAGCTTCTTCTCGATGTCCGCATTTGCCCTGCGACCGCCCCGCCAAGTCGCGTCGTTTCCCCTCGAGCCTCGGGTTCCCCAGGTTCAGAGGGCGCCCTCTTCTGGCAAAGCTTAGCTCAGATCGGTCATTGCGTTGGGATGCCATCATTCCATTCTCCCGGGAAAACGTGCACCTCTACGCTACTGTCCGCGATTGTCGGTCGGAGCAGAAGATGGACCATGCTGCTGCCTTTCCATCCCCGCTATTACCTAACAGATATCCTTCTCTAATCTCTATGGACAGGCCGGGCTCACCTCCAATGCGGGGGCGCCATTTATTCATCCCCCGGATTCTCCTCGTGTGGAGATTCGTACGCCGGCAGTTCGTATCACGATCCTCTCTGGCCTTGGAACTCTCCCCCCATTGAGTCGATACGCCAGACTCTGACGTCGGACGGATAACAAGAAGGGCAGGGATGGGCACCGGCCTGAATGCTGTTGGGAAGTGTGTGGAGCCGGTATTCGCTCTTAATTACATAAAAGAAATGTGCCTAGTCTGATGCAGGAGCTCCCGCTGCCTGCCCGGTGGTGAAAGAGTGTACCTCCGTGACGGCAGATGCGCTATTCATACCCCAGACCATATGGAATTGTCGCTCTTCACGCACCATTACTTGTCTCTGCGTCCGGTTCGATTGGCCTCGAACAAGCTTTGGCGGTGAAGGTTCCAGCCAACTTGTGGTAGTGACCCCAATTCTATGGCCCTGGGTTCACTGCAATAGGTGAGTCCCTGCCGTCCCGGTGATCGCCTGATGGATGAGCATAGACCGGTTCTAGACTGTTGTCCAGTCTCTTGTGCCTTTTGCCATTGATTTTATGTCAGACGGGAATTTACCGCGGACAGAATGCAACATCGCCTCTGTCGCCATTATGCGGATCGTTTTCATCATTCTACCCTGGATCACCCGCACAGAACAAAATGCCTCATCGGTAGGACCTCTTTATTACAGTCCAAGTCGCGCAGTGCTGTATCAATGTCCTCAAATCCATGGACATCCGAGCGCGGAGATAAAACTCCGAGGCCGATCGTAATCTCCGATGCCTGCTACTTTGTACAAGTTTGGGGGGGGGGGGGGCGACACCACCATCTCCAGGTAGCCTGGTTATCAGGGCGGCCAAAGTAATGTTGACCCGCAAGGCAACCCGTTCCATAGGATGCTCTCACGGGGGTATCAATCCTGCATCCTCGCAGGATTGACGTCTAGTCGATTTATTCCTAGCCATTATCACACCCTGCGACTTCGATTCGGCATTTAGGAATGCCGCTCTGAAGCTTTTTGGTGATCCGCCGGAACATAATGAAAAAATAAAAAGTAGAGTGAACTGCAATTCAACAAGGAATTTCCTCTTGTCGGTCTTATCTGGCCGACATTAAACGTCAATACGAATATCCCTCCAGTTCAGACCGTCAGACCTCGTTGAATCGACGTTCAGCCATTTAATAAACAATGGTCTCGGGACAAGTGTCAGACAACGTAGAGGCTGCTTCCGGCCGCAAGCCGCAATTGAGATCCCATGATTCTCCCGTCAAGGCATATTTCGGAGTCAGGTACTATGCAGCTAGTTGTCTTCGTACCCTGCGATGAAGGATGAACCATCCAGGCTACATGTTAACCCCGTGGGAGTAACAACGCCTACTACAGTGGTGACACTCGGGCATTCTTCAAAATCCTTACTCCCTTGGCCACAAATGTCACAATTCCCCAAGATCTATCTGCAGTCACCTTTTTGAGTATCCATATTCTATTGCAGGCACACATTCACCGCTAAACGTGTTTGCTTGTTTCGTTACACTTGTTTAAGATGCTAGTTGGAGCTGTCACTTACTGTATCAGGTGCCAGGAAAAAGCAATATAGAGATATCTCAATTACTATTTCCTCCGCCAGTGGGTCTGGGAGATTCATCCAAAAAGTTGGCCCGGTATAGTAAGGCTCAAATCTGACGTGCGGCACATGCAGTGAATATTGGATCAGAATGCAAGGGATGGAACCTTAAAGGCCGCATCTGGGTGCATGACTCGACCAATGTTACATGGAACTTATATGTCTGCCCTGGGCTCATTCGGTCATTCTCCTGCCATACCCCAGACTTACCTCAACCCAGTCAAGCAGATCACAATAGTTTATAGAAGACGAAGAAGCAGCAGCAGCAGCAGCAGCAGAGACGACTAGGATGGAGAAAGAAACGATGAGGAGTTTAGAAAATCACCCTGGTGGGTTATTTCCCACGCTGGTCCCCCCGAGCGCTGGCGGTAACACGAAATTCCATACCCGAGAGATCTCACCGGACATCCTCACAAACCTTCTGAAAATCATCAAACAAGAGGGAATTGATCTGGCTCTGCTGTTGCGCAGCATCTGGGCCATTGTTCTCCGCCAATACATCGAGTCGGACTGGCTGTGCTTCAAGGCGGGGAGCATGAGCTCAGCTTCCTCTGCCTTGGATGAGCTGGGCTATCGAATTGGCATCTCGTCACATGAGACCCCAGAAGGTATCTGGAGACAGCAGCAAAACATCACCGGCATCAGCACGGTGGGCTTGAACTGGGAGATGAACACTGGTGTCTTTGTATTCAAGCTGTGCAGCCTTGACCAGGCCCCTGACTGCGATAAGCACTGGCGAACCAGAGCGATGGTAAGTGGCAGACGCTCGCACTTTGAAAGTCCTTGATTATGGATACTGACACCGTGAGAGTTGCAGCACGCGGTGGATGCCTGCTTGGTTTTAGAAGAAGTGGACGCCGATACCCGTCACCTCTATCTCCTAGCTAAAGGGACATTACTGTCCCCACAGCAGGCTCAGTATGTCGCAGACACCATCGCTCAAGTCACTTCTGAAGTTCTGGACAAGCCGAACCAGACACTCAGGGATATCAATTATTTTAATCCCCAGCATTCGCAAATGCTACAAGAGTGGAACCACCGTAACATCTGGCCTGCTGAGGGCGACACTTTCTCTTCCATTTTGGATACTATTCGAAAACACAGTAAGCAGAGCCCTGACGCGCAAGCTATAATCGCCTGGGATGGCTGTCTCTCCTACAGGGATCTTGAGACACGCAGCACACATCTCGCAGAGTATCTGTGCCATCTCGGTGTTGGCCCGGGTGTCATGGTGCCTATGCTCCTGGACCACAGCCAATGGGTCGTCATTACCCAACTGGCCATCCTAAAAGCTGGAGCAGCATTCGTACCCCTGGAGCCATCCCATCCGCAGGAGAGACTGCGATATATAGTGCGCTGTGTGAAAGCCTTCGTAATTGTGGCATCCGAGGCGCATTGCGCTCGGGGTCAGCAACTGGTTGACCGTGTCATCCCGATTAGCAGGGGCATATGGAGCAAGGTGCATACCTTAATCCCTCCCGCAACGTGCATAACTCCGGCTGCAGACACTCCCGCCTATATTCTCTTCACCTCCGGCAGTACGGGGCAGCCCAAAGGCTGTGTTATCGATCACCGTGCGATGGCCCAACTTCCTCATGACGATGTAGCGGCATCTCTGGGGCCTAACTCACGTGTGCTGCAATTTGCTACCTACAGTTACGTCATGGCCATCTATGAAATATATTGGTGCCTGAGTAATGGCGGGACACTTTGTATCCCCTCGGACCATGACAGGCTGAACAATCTCTTCGCCGTGATGGAGGAGATGCAGATTACCTGGGCCGTGTTGACTCCGTCAGTACTGCGACGGCTGAACACTAATACGCCGCCATCGAATCTCCAGACACTTGGGCTAGGCGGAGAGGCATTGGATGCAGGGGATATCAAGGGCTGGGTGCGAAAGGTGCAAATGTGGTTCGGATATGCGTCCAGTGAAGGGACAGCGCTGAACTGCCTCACGGAACTTCACGGACAATCATATGCAATAGAATTTGCGCCTACAAGTCGGGTTCGTCACTGGATTGTTGATCCCGACAGTCATCATAAACTCGCAGCGGTGGGTACTGTCGGGGAATTGGTCGTTGAGAGCCCCGGGCTTGCTCGCGAATACCTGGACAATCCAACAGCCACTGCGGATGCATTTTTTGAAGGTCCCGACTGGAGAAAATCTTTCCGATATCCCCAGGACGGGGGTAAGCCAATTCGGATGTATAAGACCGGTGACCTCTTCCGCTATACGATGGGCGGCAGCATGCAATACGTTGGCCGGAAGGCTACGCAAGTCAAGATCCGCGGGCAACGCTTGGATCTGGGAGAAGTCGAATCCCATGTGCGTCAACTATGTCCTGCACCCACCCGCGTGATTGCAGAGATAGATGTCCCAAAGGGAGGAGTGGGGACACCCATGCTGGCTGTGTTTATCTGTTCCGATTGCTATATATCTGAGGAGCCAGAAGCCACTCCGTCAGATGAGACTTCTCTGTTTGCTATTCCCTCCGATCGTTTCCGGGCCGACATAGCGCAGTTAACACGGGGCCTACAATCCTCCCTACCAGCGCATATGCATCCCAGTGTCTACATTCCTTTGCAGCGCTTTCCGGTCACATTGACGGGTAAAGCAGACCGTCGTCGGTTGCGTGATCTGATCCAACAGCATACTCGTGACGAGTTGCGGTGCTACCAATCCATAACGAATAATTCAACACCTCCCAGCACTCACATAGAGCGAGAGATCCATGGCCTTTTTGCCGAGGTATTAGGAATCAGTGCTGGTGGGTTTGGGGTTCACCAGAGCTTCATACGTCTGGGAGGAGATTCGCTCGCCGCGATGAAGCTGGTGAGCTTGAGTCGTAAGCTAGGTATTGGCCTGACGGTCGAGCAGATCATGGAGAACAAGACTGTTGCCAAACTGAGCAGCATCGCGTCGGTGGCCAAATTTACTCCTGTCAACAAAATGTCGCCTCCGGGACATGTCCCTGTCGACGCTAAACTTCCGCTCGACTTATGGGAAGGAATCGAAGCGGAGCACATCGAATCCATATCCGCCTGCTCCCCAATCCAACAAGGAATCCTATTGGGGCACATCCGGAAACCGGCCCACTACCATAATCGTATTGTGTGGGAAGTTCTCGACGCCCCTGCGGGACGAGATATTGATCGAATGTGCCGTGCATGGGCGCACGTTTGCCGTCGCCATCCCATGCTACGCACTTTCTTTGCGGAGAGCCCAGCTGGGAGCAGCTCCTTGGCCTTGCAAATCACGCTAAAAAAGGACCACGTAGAGCCTCAGGATGTCGAAGTGCTCTATGAGGAACCTGGACTAAGGCCCGACACGCATCCATCTCTGACCTCTGGACAGCCCCTGCAGTGGATTCCTCGATTCAAAATTTATCAGGCTACCGGCGACCGGCTATATTGTGCAATCGATGTCCATCATGCTCAAGTAGACATGATATCCCTGGGGATCATTATCCGGGATCTGAGGCGTTGCTATCTGGATGGGACCGAATATGTTGCACAGGGCGACCTGCCTGAATCTAACAGTGTGTCATACGCCGATTATGCTCAGTATATTTTTGCATGCCAGTCAGAGGAGAGTCTCAGTCACTGGAAGAGCCGTCTATTCAACGCGGAGCCGTGTGTATTTCCCCGCCTGCAGCAGGGTCCGTTCGAGGACGCTCGGTCGAACCTTTGCAGTGTCGAACTCCCTCTAGCGCCGGTGAGTGACCGTCTGCGGTCATTCTGCAAGAATATGGATGTCACTGTGGCCACAGTGTTCAAGCTTGCCTGGTCAGTGGTGCTAAGCGCATATACTGGGTCTCGCTGTGTCTGTTACGGTTCGGTGACAGCACTGAGAGATGTTCCTTTACCGGGAGTCGAAGACCTGGTCGGGCCACTAATTAATACACTGCCGTTCTGTTTGAAGTTGAACCCAGATAAGGGAGTGATGGAAGCGCTTCGATGGATTCAAGAGCTATTCCTTGAAGAATTGCCACACCGACAAGTATCCATTGCAGAGATTCAACATTCCCTGGACAGTAGCAGTGGCCCTCTCTTCAACACCACCATGAGTTTTGTTGACCGCTTAGACATTGCGGCAGGCTCCCTAGATTCGCTACAGCTGGTCTCCTGGTACGGGCCAACCGAGTATGACCTCCAAGTTGAAGTGACTTCTTGGCCTTCCGTCTCGTGCTGCATCAGGTACTGGAGCCATATGATGTCCAAGGTGCAAGCATCTGCCCTGGCAGATACTCTGTCTATGACAGTTTCGCAGATTCTCCGTGCTGCATCTTCAGGCGAGGCAATCGGAAACCTTGATCCATGTACTACCCGAGATATGCAGAAGATCCTCGAATGGAATGGGTCTCCCCCGGAAGCTGTACCGGCGCGGGTGCACGATCTGATCAAGGCTCGATGTGACGAGCAGCCAGATGCCTTGGCAGCCTGGGCCTGGGATGGTGCTTTGAGCTATCGGGACCTTGACTGTCTCTCCTCGAAATTAGCTAAAAGGCTTATGGTCCATGGCGTCGGGCCTGAAGTTTTTGTCGGTATCTGTTTTGACCGCTGCAAATGGACGTTGGTATCGGTGCTCGCTGTCGCTAAAGCCGGGGGTGCATTTTGTCTGATGGACTCGTCGCATCCGACATATCGCTTGCGCGAGATTTGTGACGCCCTGAAAGCAACTTTGGTGATCACGACACCCACACATGTTGAAAAGGCATCCGAGTGCGAGCGTCCTTTGCTGGTAGTGGAGGAAGGTGTGTGTTCTGAATTGGATGATCTACCAGGTGACTCGAAGTTTGAAAACCCTGACACACTCTGTCAAAATGCATGTTATGCCGTGTTCACATCCGGCTCGACGGGAAAGCCCAAAGGCGTCGTTATCACACACGGGAATCTGGCTGCAACAATTAAGGATTGTCCTCAGCGGTTGGATTTGCGACCAAGCGATCGGTCTCTTCATTTTGCATCATATGCCTTTGACGTCAGTATCATCGAAATTATGGTCCCTATGGTAGTGGGGGCCTGTGTTTGTATTCCATCGGAGCATGACCGTTTAAACAACCTGCCGAAGGTCATGGCGGACCTTGGAGTGACATGGGCAATCATGACCCCGACAGTGTCTCGGTTACTGGATCCTCCCAGGCTCCCCATTCTTCGAACTCTGGTCCTTGGGGGAGAGGCCATCATGTCTTATGATTTCACAACCTGGCAAGGTTCGGCGACCCTCATCAGCGCATATAGCCCGGCTGAATGCACGCCGATTGGCCTTTCCACTATCGTCCCGGCGGAAGATCCAAACTGTTTGGGCAAGCCATTCTCGTCCATCTCGCCCTGGATCGTTGACCCAGAAAATGTTCAGCGGTTGGTCCCGGTTGGTGCCGTAGGAGAGCTCGTCATAGAAGGAACAGCTGTCGGTCGAGGCTATCTACACGATACAGAGCACCGCGATGACTTATCCTCACCGTTTATTCCTCTGACTCGATGGATATCCCAATTTCGGACCATCGACGTGTCCAACCCACCTCGGCTGTATCGTACCGGTGACCTGGTCCAATATACAGAGGACGGGTCGGTACGATTTATCGGGCGCAAGGACCTGCAAGTCAAGATCAGGGGTCAGCGACTGGAACTGGGCGAAGTGGAATCTCGACTCCGGAGCTACCTTTCGTGGGCTGGCGCCATCGTCGTTGAAGCTGTCGTTTGGAATCCCCCAATCGGTCGTGCAGTACTAGTTGGCTTTATATCTATCAGCTCTCCAGATGTCACAGACAACGCCGAGACAGTATGTGAGATAGCCGGATCGTTCGATGATGATAACAACAGTGTATATCAGCATGACATCGACAAAGCTTGTTCCCACCTTCAGGACGAACTGCCAAACTGGATGGTCCCGTCGGTGTTTCTGAGGGTGCAGGGTATTCCAATGACCAAATCTGGAAAGGTTGATCGACGCAGACTGCGACAACTAGCTACCCTGATTCCCAGAGAGACCCTGGGGACTTCTGATGCTGATGAATCCCATCGTCAGGCCCTACTGACCGAAAAAGAGAAACAGCTACAGTTGACTTTTGCGAACGTCCTACGAATGCCCCCCGGGAAGATATTTTCTGACAGTCACTTTTTCCAACTTGGGGGTGATTCTGTTGGAGCCATGGAGTTGGTGGCCACGGCGAGGCTACAGAATATGGCAATCACTGTCAGTGATGTTTTTCAGCATCCCAGGGTGGGTGAGCTGGCAGCGGTGGCCACCGCTGCCAATGATGAGATGGCCTCCGAGATTCCGCCCTTTAGCCTTCTGCCTTGGGGCTATGAATCAGAGATTACCTCATCCGCTGTAGAGCAATGTGCTCTGTCAATGAATGACTTGGAGGATATGTATCCGTGCACCGCCTTTCAGGAAGGCTTAATGGCTCTTGCTAGTCGGGAAGCTGGCAAGTACGCTCGTCAGTGCCTATTCGAGCTCGGACGCGATGTTGAAATAAATAAATTGAAAAGTGCATGGCAAGCAACAGTCGCTGCCAATGCCATCCTCCGCACCCGAATCATTCACGTTCATCCGCACGGTACCTTCCAGGTGGTCCTGATGCCAGCCGCTGCTCCGATTGTATGGCAAAGATATGAGACCATCGATGAATGGCGCAAGAAGGGGTCGGAAATGAACATGGGACTGGGAACTACATTGTCTCATTTCAGCGTACTCAGCTCAGCCCAGGGACAGACCTTTATAGGGGTCTCTTTACATCACGCCATATACGACGGTGTCTCCCTAACCAGACTGTTTGACCAGGTGCAAAGGGCATATAAAAATGAACGGCTGGCCCCTGCTAAATTTACACCGTTTATTCACTCCCTGGTCTCTCAAAATTCTCAGGAGGTAGAGGAATTCTGGCGCACAGAATTCCATGGACTTGAGACCTCGGTATTCCCAGAGCTGCCCGAGCCTGGGTTTGTCCCTAACCCTACAGCAAGCGTCGAGAAGGAGATCCCATTTTCACGGGCACCACACCTATCCAAATTTACCCTCTCGACGGTAATGAGGCTGGCATGGGCTCTGCTAGTCTCATATTATACGGATACTGAGGATGTAGTCGTTGGCATCACTGTCAGCGGTCGAGCGCGTCCTGTTCCTGGGATTAACTTCATAACTGGCCCTACTATGGCCACTGTTCCATTCCGCACGCGAATATGTCGTGATGATCTACTCCTCGACGCTCTTCGTAATGTGCAAGATCATTCACGGCGAACGATTCCCTTCGAGCAGGCAGGTTTGCAAAGGATCCGAGAGCTCAGCCATGAAACAAGGGCTGCCTGCGACTTTCGGTCACAGTTGGTCATTCAACATGACGAGCATAGCCAGGCCTCTTTGGACGTGATGATACTGCGTGATCAGCTTGCGGACTATGCGGCATTTCTCAACTACGCCTTGGTCATTGTGTGCACCCCCTCGACAGCAAACCAAACGATTGGCGTAACTATTCAGTTCGATCCGCAAGTTGTACCGCCGGCGGCCGCAGATCGGCTGCTGAGCCAATTCTCCCATATCGTGAACCAGATGTGTGCGCCAACTAATTCCAACCCTAGGCTTAGCGATATCGGGACAATAACGCCCCAAGATTGGTGCTCACTACGACAATGGAACGGCAACCTTCCACTTGCCTACCCCCATACACTTCATCATCTTGTACTCTCCCAGGCGGAGACCACGCCCGACAGACGCGCTGTGGAATCGTGGGATGGAACCTTGACATATGCGGAACTAGATTACTTTTCGGGCAGGCTAGGGCAGCATCTGTTGACCTGCGGACTGAAACAGGGTTCTCGGGTGATTTTGCTTTTTGATCGCTCCCTGATATCGGTAGTGGCAATGCTGGCAGTGCTTCGGTCAGGAGGTGTTTGTGTCAACATTGACCCATTCCTCCCACAGGCCCGCCTTGCTCAGCTAATACGCCAAGCACGGCCCTCAATGGCTATGGCATCATCGGAATATCGGTTGTGGGAGGCAGATACAATGCCGATACCTCTTCTCGACGTTGAATCATTGGATACCATCCCACGCGTCGCAAAGGACATTGCCTGGCCAATTGTGCACTCGACTGACCTCGCATTTCTTCTCTTTACTTCCGGCAGCACTGGAAATCCTAAAGGCATTATGGTTGAACATGGAAATTGCGCTACCGATATTAATCACTACAGTGCTTTCTTGGCCATCACCCCAGAAATCAGAACGTTACATTTCTCTAGCTATGCATTTGACGTGAGCATCTACGAGGTTCTGACACCCTGGATGCACGGTGGTTGTCTGTGTATTCCATCAGAGTCTGCACGGCTGTCAGATTTACCCGGTGTCATGCGGAAATACCAGGTCAATTTTTCCATCTTGACCCCTTCGGTGGTAAATGCGCTACACCCGAGTGACATTCCGAGTATGCAAACCCTCGCCATCGGCGGTGAAGTGATGCCCGCGGCTATGTTCGACCGCTGGGCCTCTCATGTACGCTTGTTCAGCATGTACGGCTCCGCGGAAGCCACCCAGTGTGCCGCTGTTCATCTAGCTCCCACAGACCAGTTTGTGCCCGGTCTCTTTGGTGCTATGGTTGGCGCCTCGGGCTGGGTCACGGTCCCTGGCAATCCAAGCCAGCTTGCCCCAATTGGTGCGGTGGGCGAGCTCCTCATCGAAGGTCCAGTTGTAACTCGGGGCTACTTTGACGAGCCGGAACAGACGCATGCATCCTATATCAAACCCCCAGACTGGTTGCAGGAGTTTCGCGGCCCCGCTGAGCCTGGTCGGCTCTTCCGCTCCGGAGACCTGGTGCAGTATGTACCTAACCAGCCAGGCTGGCTACGCTACATTGGGCGCAAGGATAAACAAGTCAAAATCCGTGGACAACGGGTTGACCTGGCGGAAGTTGAGCACCATGTCAACGAGATACTCCCTGCAGGCAGCCAGGCAATTGCCGAGGCCCTGTTCCACCACTCATCTCCAGGGCGTTCGGTGCAGCTCGCTGTATTCTTGACCATGGGTTCACAGTCGACCGTCGAGGTCGACATTATATGCACCCTCAATGAGCCAGTTAAGCGGCTCATAGCTGAGTTACAGCAGCAACTCTGTAAGCGTCTTCCCTCATACATGGTCCCTACCATGTTCTTCCCGGTATCCCATGTTCCTCAAACATCGACCGGCAAGGCCGATCGGAACCGGCTGCGGCAGTTGGTTGAAGGGTGGACGACCGAGCAGCTGCTGCCGTATCACCCGCTCAGTACCGATTCAACGCATGCACCCGTAGAGACAGCTGAGGAGCGCACCTGGCAGCGCCTGTGGTGCGAGGTACTCTGCGTTCATGCCGAGATTATCGCCAGAACTAGCCATTTCTTCCACCTTGGCGGCGACTCCGTTCGAGCGATGAAGTTGGCCGGATTAGCGCGACGTGAGGGGTGGATAATAGCTGTGCCAGATATTTTCGCTCATCCAACGCTATCTGAAATGGCGAGTCTTGCCGTACCCTCCAAAGGTGTGTCGGCTCCATCTCCAGACCCTTTTAGTCTGGTAGGAAGCGGACGGAGGACATCAGACCTGATCGACACGGCTACTCGCCAGTGCAGCATCACCCAAGGTGATATAGAGGATATCTATCCTTGTACCCCACTCCAAGAGGCTCTCATAGCGTCAACAGTACAGAAACCCGGCACCTATCAGGCGCTGGAAGCTTTTGATTTGACCGCCGATGTGGATTTGACACTCTTGAACATGGCCTGGCACAAGACAGCCGCTATCCATGCTATCCTCCGCACGCGAATCATGCAAGAGCATACTGGCGAATTGTTCCAGGTGGTAGTAAAAGGCCCATTATCATGGACCGTGGAACAAGCGGATGAAATCTCTGATGATGAGCTAATGCATTTCCAGCGCACTATGGGTATTGGAACCCCATTGATTCATCTGGTCCTTCTACAATCCGCTCGATCAACATTACCTGATCGTCTCCTGCTTTCGGTACATCACGCATTGTACGATGGATGGTCCCTGCCCTTGCTTCTCGAGGAGGTCAATAAGCAATACCACGATCCAAACTGGCCCCATGACCCAACCCCAGGTTTCAACGTCTTTGTTTCCCATGTAGCTAAGTCGGTGGATGAGTGCCACGCGTTCTGGAAACAGGAGCTGGAAGCGAAGACAGAAGCTCCGGCATTTCCACGTTTGCCGGACGGGGCATACGTTCCAAACCCGCAGGCTATCTTGCAAGACCGAGTCTCAGTGAGCCCGGCGCAGGATGGAAGTGAAATAACCCTTGCAACTATGATACAGGCATCTTGGGCGTTAACTGCGAGTTGCTACTTGAACGCGAACGAAATAGGGTTCGGGATCACCACCTCTGGTCGAGCTGCTCCTGTTCCAGGAATTGATCGACTGTTAGGGCCTACGCTGGCTACACTGCCCCGACGTATACACATCCAGAAAAAGCTGGATGTCAAGACATTTCTGCAGCAATTACAGCGGAGCTTTACAGAGCAGTCCAAGTATGAATACATTGGGTTGCAGCAGATTCGGCAGCTGGGGCCATCATCCGCCAGCGCGTGTCGCTTTCAGACCCTTCTGGTTATCCAACCCGAACCGATGGAGGGCAAGCTGGATTGGGCTGAAAGCCGCCAGAGTGTGGCCAAGTTGACGCACTTTAGCAGCGTTGCGTTGACCCTTATCTTCCAACTCCCCTCTAACTCTTCCCCGACGTCTATCGGCCTGATAGCCGTGTATGACCCTGAAGTATTGGCACCCGCACAGATGCAACATGTTCTGTTGCAAGTTAAGCATATCTTCGGCGAGCTGCAAAAAGCCCCGGTGGGGTCTCCGATAGCCTCCCTCAGTATGCTGAACCCCGGCGATGCCGCAGAATTGCAACGGTGGAATACGCTCACTCTCCCTACCCGAAAGCACCAAGATCAAATATTTGTGCATGACATGATACGGCGTCGATGCCAGCTACAACCCGATGCTGTAGCCGTTCAGGCATGGGACGGAAGACTCACCTACGGAGAGCTGTATTCGTACACAGAATATCTGGCTGTAAAGCTACAGTCATACAATGTTCACAAGAACCGTTTTGTTGCTCTCTATTTCGAGAAGTCATGTTGGACCGTTGTCGCCCAGCTGGCAGTTCTGATGGCCGGAGGGGCCCTCGTGATGCTAGAGCCCTCTCACCCCATCAATCGCCATCGAGAGACCTGTCAGATTCTGGATGTCACCCTGCTCCTCGGTCCTCCCCACCTCACAGAATCGTTGCAACAAGCGCTCCAGGTTGAGATCATCCCTATCAGTGAGGCTCATCTCACCGCAGTTGACGAGAAACACCTATCAACTGATAATCCTGTACAATCGGATGACCTCATGTACGCTATTGCTACGTCTGGGACTACCGGCCGTCCTAAGCTGGCATTGGTTCATCATGGAGGATTCGTTGCCAGTGCAAGGGCGCTGATCGATCAGTTTAAACTTCGGGAATCATCTCGGGTTCTCCAGTTCTCCAGCTACGGGTTCGATGCGCACTTGCTAGAACAACTGCTTCCGCTAGTTGTAGGAGGTTGCGTCTGTGTCCCATCCCCGTATGACCGTGACAACCGACTGGTGTCCACTCTGGCCACCATGAAGATCGATTGGCTAATTGCGCCGGCATCTGTCATCTCCTTACTTTCTCCGGACAATTCTCCGTCCATCCAGACTTTGGTATCTGCGGGCGAACCATTGCAGCAAGAAATAATTGACATGTGGGCTACTCGAGTCAATCTCATAAATGCCTACGGCCCAGCGGAGTGTAGTGTTGTGTGCTCAGTCAACCCAAGTGTAAGACTTGGGACCGATCCTAACAATATCGGATACCCGGTCGGTGGCAACTTTTGGATCGTAGACCCGGATGATATCAACTCTGTCTTGCCAATTGGCGCCGAAGGAGAACTCCTGGTCGAAGGGCCTGTTGTTGGTGTCGGATATGCGAAAGACACCCGACGCACAGAAGATGCATTTCCATCAACACCGCCTCACTGGCTCCGCTCCTCTCGCGGGGTTTCAGTTCACACGAGAATCTACCGCACAGGAGATATCGCTCGATATAACTACGACGGTTCTCTGCATTACGTTGGTCGTAAGGACTCACAAATCAAGTTAAATGGGCAGCGGATTGAGCTCGCCGAGGTGGAACATCACGTCCGGCTATGTTTCCCAAGTGCCGCCCAGGTAGTTGTTGATATGGTAAAATATGACGATGCTGATACTAGCTCCCTCGTTGCCCTCATCGTCTCGACTGGGTCGGGCTTTCCAGCGCCTGAATCAAACATCTTGCTCCCAACAACCACAGATTTCCTCAACGATGTTCAACTCGCGGAAGCACTTCTTCAGGATCGCATCCCACCTTATATGATCCCGACGCTGTTCGTGCCGGTGGCACGAATACCATTCAATACTAATGGCAAGGTAGATCGGGTTCGTCTGCGAACCTTGGTTGCTTCTTTGTCCATTCAGGATCGTACAGCCTATCGTTCCACAGCCACAACAGAACCTACCACAGATTTAGAAGTTACTCTTCATGAGATCTGGTCCCGCGTTTTGAGGATTTCCCCTCAGAAGCTTGGCATTCATGAAAGCTTCTTTCGTGTAGGCGGCAATTCAATCAGCAGTATGCAGCTCGCGGCACAGTGCAACGAGGCTGGCCTACCAGTATCCGTTCAGGATATCTTCCGTCACCGAACAATTTCGCGGTTGGCAGCATCATTTGAGGGTCATTCGGTCCCGGTGAACATATCCTCCGATATCAATAGCCAAGATGATTTTCTAGGCCCAATCCAGCGGCTGCTACCTGAAGATGAGCACTCCAGGGCTCTGGGGGATTTGCATCTTGCTGATTACACTGATAGCCAGCTCGACGAGATAAGTCAGGCCCTTCCGCCCGGATATGAAGGAGAGATACAAGATATATACCCCTGCTCCCACGTGCAGCAGGGCATGCTCATCAGCAATGCACGCAACTCCAGCCTCTATCAGCAGGTCTATCGCTTTGAGGTGGTTCAAGGCCGGGGTGCACCCAAGGTTGACTGTCAGCAATTGGTGAGGGCGTGGCATGCGGTGGTCAAGCGCCATGGAGCCTTGCGGTCCGTTTTTCTCTGTATACCGGGGAGAGGGTTCCACCAGATCGTGCTCGCCAATGCAAGAGATAATATCATAATTGCGGCTGACGGCAACCGTAGCAGTACAAACAACCACAAAATACCTGGTACACAAGATCTGCATCGTCCTTTGCCAACTCTAATCATTCACCAAGAGCCTGATGAGCAGTTCTGGATTGAATTGCACATAAGTCATGCTCTTCTGGATGGAGTGTCGCTGCGAGTCATCGAACAAGACCTCCTCAAAGCATACTACGACAATTTACCCTCTTCATTACCTGACTATCGGGATTACATTACCTATCTACGGGCAAGGGGAAAACAAGAGATATCTCTGGGCTACTGGAGAAAATACCTGGAGGGCGTGCAACCATGCCTCTTTCCGTGCCTCTGCGACTCTACGGCGACAATGATAGACGTATCGGAGCCAAAGGCAACAGTCGACTTCGTGTCGCTTGACTTGGGCCCTCCGAAGGCTCTCGATCAATTGTGTGAGACTCATTGTCTGAGCCTCACCGCCATCTTGCATGTGGTCTGGGCCATTGTACTGCAACAATATACCAGAACGGACAATGTGTGCTTTGGATATGTCACCTCCGCGCGGCAGGTCCCCGTTCCTCATGTGGATGAAATTGTTGGTCCAATGATCAACATGCTGCCGAGCCAAATCCAACTCTCCAGGGATTCATCAGTGCTATCCACACTACAGGGTTACACTGTTCAATTCATGTCCTGCATGGAGCATGCTTACGTCTCACTAGGACAGATATTGCACTCTGCTATGCCCAGTACACAATCACTATTTAACACAGTGATAACTATTGTTGAGCCTGGAGACCGTAGGGACGATGCTAATAATCCCTGCTTATCGTTGGTTGGTATCGATGGACAAGGGGAGACAGAGGTATGTAGTCCCGTATTCCTACACAGTGCACGTGGCGACTGACTGAGCTCACCAAAACCCTCAGTATGCGTTGGCTTTGACCGTTTCCAAAACATCAGGCCGCATGGATTTGCACCTTTCATACCAAACATCTATGGTCAATGCTTCCCGGGCCCATGATCTATGTTTGATGTTTCGAAAAGTCCTATGCGAGGTCTTGAAGTGGCCCACGGCCAATATTGGCAGCATAGATGTTCTGGATATGGGTCAGGTACAGCGGATGCATTTGAGGCAGCCATTCCCACCAGCTTCGGCAAATCAAATGGTATACGAAAGCATCAGTCAGCGATGCGCAGACCAACCACTTTCACCGGCCGTCTGTGCCTGGGATGGCGAATTCACCTACGAGCAACTTGATAAGCTCTCGTCAGGATTCGCGCAAGAGATCCTTGCCTATGGAGTTAGACCGGAGGACCCGATTCTGGTATGCCTGGAAAAGAGCCGCTGGGTCCCGGTGGCTATGCTGGCAGTCTGGAAAGCTGGGGCATGTCTAGTCCTTCTGGATGCCACCCATCCAGCTACTCGGTTGCAAATCATTGCAAGGCAGACTGGCGCATCAATGGCAATTTCAAATAAGAGTACCCGCTTCAAAGCAAGCAGCCTGTGCTCAATAGTATTGCAAATCGATGTTGACGGCCCGTGGGCTCGACAGATTGATCCCTCACTGGCTGAGACGGTCTATGTTGGGGAAAACAGCGCCGCATACATTGTATTCACTTCTGGCTCGACTGGAACACCCAAAGGGGCTGTGATCGAGCATGCTTCCCTTGCCATTGCGTGGAAGACCCTTCCCCTCCGCTTCCAGTTAGGACCTACATCGCGTGTTCTACAATTTGCCTCCCATGCCTGGGATGCGGCAGTGCTCGATGTCATGGCCGCATTGATGTCAGGGGGTTGCCTATGTATTCCCTCGGAAAGTGAACGTATGGGTAATCTGGCCTCCGCTACGAATCGTATGAAGGTTAATTGGATGTTTTTGACGCCAACCGTCGCCCGTCTGCTTAACCCTAGCGAACTTTTGTATCTCGAGACTCTGGTTCTTGGCGGGGAAGCGGTTACCACAAGGGATATTGATGACTGGCATGACAAAGTCTGTCTCCTGAGCGCATACGGGCCAGCGGAGTGTACGCAAATTATGAGTGTAACTAGGCCACTAGCCCTGACTTGTGATGCGCGGAACATCGGCATCCCAAATGCCAGTGTTGGGTGGGTTGTACGCCCGAACGACCCTGAACAGCTTGTCCCTGACGGTGCTGTTGGTGAGCTGCTCATTGAGGGGCCCATTGTTGGTCGGGGCTATTTGTACGACCCTCGGCCTATTCCCGATGCCTTCATTGAGGCTCCTGAGTGGCTGCAGGCCCTTCGCTCCCCGGGTACGACTCGGGTCTACAGAACTGGTGATTTGGTTCGGTTTGCAGCTGACGGGTCACTCATATTTGTCGGGCGCAAGGATGACCAGGTGAAGCTACACGGCCAGCGGTTGGAGCTGGGCGAAGTTGAACATCAAGTTCAGCAAGCTTTCCCCGGTTGCATAATGGCCATTGATCTCATCCAGCCCGAAAAGGAGCGACAAATAGGTCCGTTTCTCGCGGCATGTATTTTCATTCCCGGCCATGCTCATGAATCACCACCCCAAGGTCTCATTTGGGACCCCCCTTCGGATACATTCCGAAGCAAGGTCCAAGAGGCTAAAATGATTCTATATGAGAAACTGCCTTCCTACATGGTTCCTTCTGTTTTTCTCCCATTGTCATACCTGCCCAAAGCGGTGACAGGAAAGGTCGATCGAAAGCTTCTCCGCAAGGGTATCTGTGATATGTCCCAAAAGGAACTCGACGCATATAGCTCCCCGGATGCCAACCGGGCAGCCTGGGTTTTGACCCTGATGGAGACACGCTTGCAGGATCATATCTCCAATATTCTCCCCAGGAAACCCTGGCAGATTCCACCAGATCAAGACCTATTTCAGCTGGGAATGGATTCGGTGCTAGCCATGACTCTCATTGCAAGACTGTACAAGGACGGTCTCAAGCTAACAATAAAGGATATCTTTGAGCAACCCCAGCTCACTAGACTAGCTCTTGTGGTGCGAGAGACATCGCAGTCAGACCAAAGTGTCAAGAAAGTACGCAGTCGCAGCCCCTTTCTGCGTTATGCAAAGGAGATTGCCCATAAATGGAAGATGGATTCGGCCTCCATCGAACACATTCTGCCAACTACTTATTTCCAGCGAGAGAGCTTGGAGGCGCGACACAAAGTGTACTTTATCTTCCATTTCCACGGCAAGATCAATTGTCAGCGTCTTCAGCATGCTGTGCAGGTTGCTCTGAACAAATATGCTATACTGCGAACGGTCTTCATCCCTTGGGACGGGTCTACAATTCAAGTTACCTTAGGTCTCGCCACCGTACCGGTGGAAATCAAAACTACCGATGGGGATCCGGCAGATGTAGCAGGATCTGGTTGCCGCGAGGATTCCTCAATACCCATTGCTCCCGGCCAGCTACACACCCAGCTTCGCTTGACGGTGGGGCCCACCCGTGATTCAATGGCCCTCCGATTGTCACATGCTCAGTATGACGGCTTGAGCATTCCTCGCCTGTTCGAAGACATTGCCCGGGCATATCAGGGGATGATCCTAAGTCCCACGACGGTGGACTTTCCGGAATACTTGTACAGTCGCATCTATGACATTCCTTCACAGGCATACCAATTCTGGCGCGATTTGCTCCGAGGTTCCAGCATGACCTATCTTGTTCCTGGACCATCGTCAGGTTCGCCGCCGTCCCACAAGCGCGGAAGCCTTACGACGAGCACCACGGAGATCTTTCACCCGCCGGCACCAGCTGGGATCACCATGGCCACCGTCGTCAGGACAGCTTGGGCGCTTTGCCTGGCGCACATGACCGGTACTGATGACGTCGTCTTCGGTCAGCTCGTCAACGGCCGCAATCTGGAGCTACCGGAGGCCGAAGCAGTTGTGGGAGCCTGTGTTAATTACGTGCCAGTCCGAGTGACTCTTCCAGCTGCCTGCACCGTGTCAAACCTCCTGCGCGCAGTTCACGAGCAACAGACCCAGAGCATGGCCTTCGAGACTATTGAATACGACGATCTGGTGGCAAAGTGTACTTCATGGCCGGCAGACACAGAACCAGGTACCGGGATTCACTACGTGAACATCCCTGATGTATTTGCTGGTAGCGGCCTGCCCGGGGTCCAGTCGGACCATGAAACATATGTATTCCGCTTGCCTCATTATCATCCCCGTGTGGTCTGTAGTCCCCTCTCGAAGGGCACTCTTGAGCTTAAGCTTTATGTTTCGGATCATCTGTGGGATCAGAGTCAAGCTGATCAGACTCTACATCTGTTTGGGCAGGTCGTGGTGCGCCTGCTGGAGAACCCAACGGGTCTGGCTCTCGACGTTTTGAAGCATTAGTTGCTTCTTTGTTCAGTTCAGCAGCTTCCTACCACGGTTTTTAATAGTCAATTGGCCTGAGTAGATGTTCAACAGAAAATGTAATGTTTAATGTTAACAGCCAAATGTTCTCAATGAAGTGACGTCGTAGAACAAGCAAAGATCCGTTATTGTTACTAGATATACTGATACCAGACTGGCTACTGCTCTTCGCAACCATTATATCTACTACAGCTGTCTAGTGGACAGCTCCAACCCCTTTGACGTATTTCTATTCTTCCATGACAATTTCAATTGCCCCAACATAGTCCCGGAACACCAAGTCATGAGGGTGTCTACCACCTAGCAATGCCTGAAGGAAAGAACTTTCACTAAGATTAGTCATCCGTGCAATTTCGTAGATTTCATTGTCACTTCCGTCGGAATTCCGGAAGGCGCGGACGTATACGTGATGTTATTAGTTCACTGGATTTTGGTTATGACTAGAATACTGAGATCCTGCGGGAGGGCCTGATCCGCAGACGGTCGGTATATGATCATCTCGGGTGTGCGTCATACCTTAGTCATTGAACAAGAACAAACCTTACAGCTTAACAGGCGTACGTTGAGGCAATGGAAGGTGTCGAGAAAGGCGGTCTGTGTGCTACTAACTTAACCATGTCTGTAAATAGATAGGTAGGTTGATTCGCATGCAGAACAGCCTTGCTGCTTCCACCCAATAGTCCGGGTCTGGTGGCGTTACCTAACCAAGCACGTCCGCCACACCAAAGTCAATCCCACCGGGGTCAGCGAGATTCAAGAACGGATTTTTAGTTTGATCAGAGGATCAACCTTGGCAAATATTGTTCACCATCAAGGTATGACCAGACATTGTGGCGAAGCACATACTTTGAATTCTGATTGTTTACCGGGACAAATCGCTCGCTCCAAATTGTTTTGTTGACTCAGACTGTTATTCACAGAAGCAGCTCTCATCCACTCAGCTGATTTCAACCCTGTGTAACGTGCTACTAGGCTGTATCGCTGGCTATAATTGGAAACGGGGGATTTTTCATGGTACTTGTGGGTCATTGATTGGTCCACCTGGGGTCAGGATCAGTCCATCGGTCGCTGCGGGCCGGCTATCTCCGGGTCGATCGGTAGTCGATGGGTGTCATCTGCAATGTTCAAAGGATCGCCCAGTACAAAGTATGTATGGGGGATGGCATCTGTAGCGAGCGAGAGGCCTCCTCGAGACGGAGTCAAGAGATGGCTCCGCCAGCCGGGGACGGGCGGTCCCATCCACGATCCACCCGTGCCAGGAAAAGTAACACTTTCACCGGTAAAGAGGCGCTGATGTCTTCACGCGACTATGACAACTCATCTGTATGGATAGTAAGGGCGCTACCCTTGCGGCCGCTTTGAACCAATAAAATGCACCATCCCAGCTTCTGAACTGTTGGAACAATTGGAGATGACAGCATATCTCCCACAAGAAGGCTGGGGAGAGAAGGATTCCGGAGTTGGGTGGCCACGGTTTTAGCGGGCGGGATCGACCGGCGAAGTGGCTCTGATGGATCAACAGTTCACAAGTCATTCAGGCCCATTGCCGGCAGGGCATTGTCCCACGTGCAAGGCTTGACTAGCATCCAATCCAATCATAATGTGCTAGTGGCATCGTGGCGAACCCCATTCGTAGCAGCCGGGAGATGGTTGATGTTTTCTCGGGGGAAACCTTGTTGGCAAGGGAACTCGGAGATGATTCGTCTGGTGGGGGCTGTTTTTGTGCTGGTCTTGGATATCCACCGATATATAAGGGGCGGGACATCCGGACAGTGGGCGACTGTGATTTCTAGTACCCTTTGCATAGTTGATAGCGATCAAGTTGTAAAATGTACAGCACGTTGTCCTTGTCTCTCGGCCTCCTGGCCACGGCAACGCTCGCTCTGGCCGAGCCGACCGTCTACCTCATTCGCCACGGCGAGAAGCCCAGCAACGGGAGCACCGGCCTCAATGCTGTGGGTTTTGAGCGGGCCGACTGCTTGAAGACTGTGTTCGGCGCGGATTCTGACTATAACATCGGATACATCATTGCAGAACAACCCAAGTCAGGTACATCAATTTTTGCGGTTGATTGTCGGATGTGGAATAGCCATCAGTAGTTAACAGATTCACAGATGGAAAACGCGACCGCGCATACGAAACGGTTCTCCCTTTGGCTGAGGAACTGGGCCTCACTGTCGATACATCCTGCTCGAAGAAGGACACCAAGTGTGTCAAGGACTTGGTGAAGGACTACACCGGCAGCGACAACATCTTGATCTGCTGGGAGCACAAGGAGTTGACCAAGATCGCTGAGAAGCTGGGTGACGACGATGCACCTACCTACCCAGATGACCGGTTAGTTTCTACCGAAGAACGTTGCAAAGGCGGTTTGTAGTCGACGCGTCTAACCAGTCATGCATTCCAGGTTCGATCTCATCTGGACTGACCCTTATCCTTATACCAACATCACGGACATCACGAGCGAGAACTGCCCGGGTCTGGATAGCTGAAGTAGTAGCCGAAAAATCAAACCAGGCTCTAGTTAGGGGACACTTGGCCTCGTGTCACGGTAACCGACGGCCGAATGCCCCTTTTGAGAAACGACGTAATGCAAAGTCATTCTGGATCTGTTCATGCGAGTGTGGCCTTAAGAAGAATAGCCTTTGGGAATCTTGTGTTGGGTACCTGAATTCTAGCAGCTCGCCATTCATGACACGATATGACAAAGAAGTCCTGCACGGTCTGGACGCATCCTCATCAGCCATCAACAAGATTTTGTGACCGACTTTTGCCCGGTCGCAATTCACTCCCATCCCTTGGAAGTGCATGTAAGTGCATGTAGGCCACTCGAGAAAGGCGAACTCCCGTGAAGTCTCTTCTAGCAGGCCCACAATCTCGCCACGAACCTGTGGGCGAGCTTTGGGTCGTGTGTCTGATAAGGCCATAGAATGCCAAGACGCCATGCCATGCTTGATATTGTTCCAAGTGTAACTTGCCATATATAGATCCTGGCATCAGCGATAAGACCTCCACTAGATGCGAAGGAGGTAGGATTACGAGCAAATGAGATGGAGCGGGAGGAATGCTTTGCCGTGGTGGCTGACTCCTGTTGGCCTTCCCCACGCACCACAAACCCCTGCCAAGTTGAACAAAGACAGACTGGCCTGCCAATAGGCTGCCAAATAAGGCCAATCCAATAAGCTCCATATAACGCTAAGCTTCCAGGTAGCCTGTGGCCGCGGTCTTAGCTGGTGCTTGGGCGAACGGGAGGTGAACCCAAGCCCACCAACTCCTCAGCCAGGATGTTCTGATGAAGCTAGTATTGTGAGACTAACTTTGGCCGGGAAATTAACGTCCGGTCTGCTGTTATGGCAGGTGAGCTTTGCTCTAAACTTCCTTGGACTTCAAGCTGCCTCTGGAGATGTGGTGGTTAACCCCGTAGTTGACTAGGGGCTGAGCACCTCAGCGAACCAAGTGAGTTTATAACATCAAACCCATCCACCAAAAGCACCCCATCACGTCTAAAGTGAACAGTTGACTCTCTCAACACTCCGATCGGGAGATGCAAGTCATTGACATCCTGCACGTCGATAATTATGGGGTAGCCCTCCAGCCAACGGTCGGATATGATAAGGTCACCCGACAGGAACAAAAGGGGGAATGATCAAGATATGCGTCGAGCAGGGGAAGAGTCCAAGCAAATGGCATCACTACAGATTACCTTGACCCCATCCGCAGGCAGTGATATTAATATCGATACCTTGATCTGGTTGGTGGGCTCCGATGGCGCAAAGGACGGCCAAATCGTTATCATCGGACGTTGATTCGAATCAGCGATGGTGAGTGGGACAGGCTAGGGCTGATAGACATCCCCTAAAGCACGGATCCCTGCTAGTGGGAAACATGTCCTAAATGACCCAACTGATAGCAAAGACTGGTGCTACATTGCGCGATATGCCTGTCCAGGCATTCGCCCCTGCAATGGCATCTTTGGGGGTATTTAGCCCATTGTTTGACCACCGCCGGAGATCCGTCCGACCTTGCTAGCAGCCATGCTATAAAGATCGGAAGCTGTGCAGTCAGTTTAACCGGCTAGGGGGTCGTCAGAGCTCAACAATTCTCAGTAAAGCTCCCCGGCGTCTCAACGCCCAATCAACGAAATATGGGTAAGTGTAGCCAGGTGTATGGCGCTGTACCCGGAACTGACAGCAGTGGGCGATTCTAGCTACCTCAACCGGCGAAACCCACGTCGCCGATGCCATAATCACCAGTGAAGCCACCAATGATTTCGTCCAAGTACAGAACAAGTCCGATCCTGAGAAGAATGTCTATGAGGTAGATGCTCAAGCGCTGGAGAACGAGGAGTACCCGCCGCCCACGGAGGAAGAGGTCAACAGCCTTCGCAAGGTCCCGGCCTATCTCCCCATCATTGCATACTCCCTTTGTCTGGTAGAATTTGCCGAACGAGCATCTTACTACGGCGCACAGACGGTCTTCTCCAACTTCATTGAGTTCCCTCTTCCTAAAGGTGCTCTTCAGACTCGGTAACCCCTGATTCTCATATCGCTGACCGGCTTCTTGTAGGAGGAAACGGTGCGGGTGCACCTCCGCGAGGGACGCAAGAGACGGCTGGTGCTCTGGGAATGGGACTCCAGGCTAGTGACGGATTGGTCTTGCTATTCCAGTTCCTTGCCTATGTCATTCCGATCTTCGGTGGATGGTAAGCCAATCCCCAAACTGTATACACGTGCGTGACTCGCTCACACTAACAGGTGGGCCGACGTATACGTCGGTCGGTACTGGGCTATTTGTGTCGGTGTTGCCATCTGTGGTATTGCCCACATCATTCAGATCATCGGCGCAATTCCTTCAGTATTGCAGGCTGGCACGGCGCATGCAGCGCCCCCGTTCATCATCGGGCTTCTGATGTTGGCCCTTGGAGCCGGTATCTTTAAACCCAATATCGCACCCACAGTCCTGGACCAATACCGCCATCAAAAGCAATACACAAAGGTTTTGAAGACTGGTGAAAAGGTCATTGTGGATCCCGAGATGACGGCAACTCGCACGATGCTCATCTTCTACGGAGTGATCAACGTGGGAGCATTCTACATGCTGGCTACCACATACGCGGAGAAATATGTGGGTTACTGGCTGGCCTTCTTGCTGGCCGGAATCATCTATTTTATTTTGCCCGTGGTGCTGGCGGCCGCCTACAAGAAGACGTACCGGACGCCGCCCAGTGGGAACTCGGATCTCGCCAAGGCAATTAAGATCACCGTAACTGCTTTGCGCCAAAACAAGTGGCAGGTCTGGCGCAAGAACTTCTTCGATGCGGCGAAACCAAGTGTCCTGGCAGCCAAGGGAATCCAGGTCGACTGGACCGACAAGCTGGTGGATGATGTGCGCCGAACGCTCGTGGCAACGGAGATCTTCTTCTATTTCCCCATCTACAACCTCAATGACGGCGGTATCGGGTCTGTCTCGACAAACCAGGGTGCGTCTATGACGACGAACGGTGCCCCCAACGACCTATTGAGCAACTTCAATGCCTTGACCATCATTGTCGCCGTGCCGATTGTCGATTACTTTATCTATCCACTGCTTTATCGGTACAATATTCCGTTTAAGCGAATCACTCGGATCACATTCGGCTTCACCCTGGCCGCACTCTCCGGTCTGTGCGGTGCCCTTGTCCAGTGGCGTGTATACAAAACCTCGCCCTGCGGCTACTATGCCTCTTCCTGTTCCGAAGTCAGCCCCATCAGCATCTGGTGGCAGCTGCCGAACACCATCTTGGGAGCCCTCTCGGAAATCTTCTGCAACGTGACGGCGTATGAACTGGCATATGCCCGGTCGCCTGCGAGTATGAGGGGTCTAGTCATGGCAATCTTCCTCTTCATGACTGCTTTGTCCAGTGCGCTGGGAGAAATCCTTCTGCCAGTCACTGAGGATCCCGACTTGATCTGGATTTGGGGTGCCCCTGCTGTTGCCCTCGCTCTGCAGACCATATTCTTCTGGTACCGATTCAGGTACCTGAACAACGATGAATTCATGACCGATGAAGCCAACTATGCAAACAGTGCAGGGGAGACCCCTATTCAGACCACTGAAGTGGAAAAGACGGTGGAAAATTAGATGTGCAGGGTCGGACCGAATCATTTACGGTCCCAATAACGGTAGCCATATTTTGAGTATGCTATTTTATCAATACATGTATCACATCCATCTCGATCCAGGTTTCAGGCAAGCCGGGTCTATAAGTTTGATTTCGGTATTGTATCTATAGTCCCTTCTGGGAGGATGTATGGTGGTGGTATGATTTAAATTGAGAGACGCTGCATAATTGCGAATAAGGCTACCGTGCCAGTCTTGGTAGCATATCGAGGGTATGAAAAGCTACGGTCGTGAATTCATGTCGAATATGAATTCGGATCAATGATCCGAAAGTCCGGCTTAGTAGGAACTTTGAGCGAATGCTCTCCTGGCCGACGGGAGTAACCATTAAATGGTTCACTGCGCTATGCACTAGATCTCATAAGCGAACGGGATGCTCTGCATCGCACCTTTTCTCTGCACACACCCTGCGGCGGCCACGTTCGCCTTCCGAACGGCCGCTTCGATCTGGGCATCGAAGTCCGCCAGTGGAGCACCGGTGGCAACAAACTTGGCAAAGGCAGTAGCGAAGTACCCGACAAACGTGTCTCCGGCGGCAGTGGTGTCTACAACCTTCTCCACCGCGGCGCTGGGGGCAAAGCCCTGCTTGCCAGTGGCCGTTGAGTAATAGGCACCCTTGGCTCCGAGAGTAATTAGAACAATCTGGACCTGGGCATGTTTGTGGAATAGAGGTGCAAGTTCCTCGGGCTTCAAGTCTTGCTCCTGCTGGGCAGGGGTGAGATGCTCCTTGACCGCCTGGGTCATGAGGACAGCTTCAGTCTCATTCATGGCCAGCACACTCGTGCCGGCAAGAGCGGCCAGGGGAATCCCTTCTGTGAAGACTGGTGCGGGGTTGAAGACCAGGTGAGAAGCACAGGAAGCGCTGTTAAAGTGCTTCATCAACTCCAAGGTGGTCGACCTCGGGATCTCGCCCTGCATCACGACAACACCTTGTTCTAGATGGATATTCCGAGTGGTAGCCAGGACTGCATCTGCATTATCCATTCCCGAGTAGTTAGCACCGGGGACGAACAAAATCCGATTCTCTCCTCCAGCTCCTTCATCCACGATGATTGTAGCAGAACCCGTTTGGCTGTCCGTCTTTTCCTGGATTCCCGTTGTGCTGACTCCGGAACCCTCCAATGTTGGGCGAAGGAGGGCCGAGTAGTAGGGATCACCTGCTCCGACCGCACCGATCATATATACCGACGCATCTTGGTTGTCTTTGGAAGCAAAGGAGGCGCGACCGCAGGCGACCGCCTGGTTGGCACCTTTCCCTCCGGCGCTGATAGCGAGGGAATTGGCTGTCAGGGTCTCGCCGGCATCGGGACAACGTGGAGTGTAGGTGACAAAGTCGATATTCAGGGAGCCAATCACGCAGATCTGGGGAGGTGCCATGGTGTTCGTTCCTGGGAGTTGCAAGAAGACGAGTCAGATATCCTAGTGACGGGTATGGTTGGAATCACCCATGCGGGGAAGAAGCACAGATGGGGACTCACTAGTAACGCTGAATTAATGATGACAAGTCAATTGATAATAGTTCAAAAGGGAAAGAATGTCCCATGCAGCCGCTATGCAGAATCTTGCAGGAAATAACAGTCAATTATAACCTGCAGTGGAGTTTATCGGTGGGATGAGTGAAAGTAAGAAAGAGAGGGACCTCTTTTTGGCGGCGGGGGGATAAGGATTAGGTAAGTGGAATGGTCACATGATGATGACGTTGAAAAGGCCGAGGTATAACCCTTGAAACAACACGGAACAACTACTAAACAACTATCATTCAGACAAACTGATGGCTGCTCCTGTGGTAGTCCTTCTGGCACTAGCAGTCGGTTATTTTGACTTAAGTTCAATCTACCCCAAATTATTCCCAATATGCAGACAGACGAAGGAGGCGGACGTAGTAAGTATTTGCTGAGGGCTAAACCTAGTATTATGGTCACTAGCATTGTGCGCAATATTAGTATATCTTTTGATGACATGTCTAAAGAGAGGCCAGTTTTGGTAGTGCTCAAAAAAAGCACTTTCGTCATAATTACTTGAAAGCTACTACTATTCAGCCCTGCCTGTCCAAGTTCTCTACTTGGCCGTGATCCGTGATCTGACGGATCGGATGTATTGCGCAAGGGGTTCCAGAAAGAGTTGCAGAAGTGTGGAATATATCTGTGCTGAAGAACCCACGAAGGAGCGATCGACTTCCATGGAGTCACTGGCTGGTTGGTATATTTACGGTTTATTGCTTGATCTGAAGGTTTATTGCATATGACTACTCTGGTCAGCACTACTACTTATCAGCTCTGCCGCAATCTGGCATGTCTTGTGCTGGACAAAATATTCTTGGCTATGCAATGTCATCACCGTTGCTATAAGTTCGGCACACATGGCTTCGAGCATCTTCGATAGAATGCCTTATTTACATATTGGGATCCCATCAACTGTGGGATACTGTCTCCGGCGTTGTCATTTGTCGGGTGACATACACTACGCTTCCTTCTCTTAACCATGGCAACCATAACTACTACGGCCACCACGGCCATTCGCTTTCGCCCTCTTCACCCCTCATTTGGTGCCGAGTGTGAGGGCGTGGACTTCTCTCAACCGGTCCCGGACGCCGTCATCGGACAGCTTCGTGCCGCGATGGCTACGTACGGCGTCCTGGTATTCCGCGCCACCCGACTTGACGATGCGCGCCATACTGCCTTTGCGCGCCAATTAGGTGAACCGATGGTGGATAGCGCGGTCGGGAAACCGGGAGTACCAAACCGACTCGATCCTAAAGGCGAGCTGATGGATATTGGGAATGTGGATGGCGACGGTCGGATCTTGTCGCCAACGTCGTGGCGGTCGCAGCTGCTCCGGGGCACACGCCTCTTTCACGTAGATGGCTCCTACTTCCAACGCCGAGCGGGATATAGCCTCCTTCGCGCGCACCAATTACCCCCAAGGGGAACCGGGGGCGCAACGGCATTTGCCGACACCAGGACAGCTTATGAGGACCTGGCAGAGGAGACCAAGAACAGAATTCAGAATCACATGCTATGGCACTCACTCATGCAAAGTCGCTATTTGGGAGCCCCAGACAATTGGCTCATCAGGTTATTGGTTTCTGTCTCCGATGTGGATGACCTCCGTCGTATTCCATATTTGACGGCCGTGGTATGTTCAGACATGCTTCAACGAAGGAGCGACTTCTCCAGTAAGACCGCGTATTGTGCTAACCAAACTGTCTTATTCCTTGCAGGGTCTGGTAGCCCGTGTACTGGGGATTTGGGTCAATATGGTGGACGTCGGCCTGTTCCTGTTGTTCTCTTTCGCTTTGGGCCGGATCCTAGTGCTGAGTTTGTTGCCCGAGGCTGCAACATCGCGTGGGCTTCATCCACTGGTACAACTGCACAAGCCCAGCGATCGAATGAATCTGTACTTGGGATCACATGCATACCAGATAGACGGGAGAAGCAAGGCAGACAGCAAGCCCGTAATTGGGGCATTGATGCGACATGCTAGTCAGGACAAATATGTTCTTACCGTGGACTGGCAGAACAATGGAGACATGATTATGTGGGTATGTATACCATTTAGATCTCTCTGTAGACTCTGGAAGCGATGCTAACGTTATTAGGACAATACTTGTGTGATGCACCGATCTTGTGGTGGCTCATATCAAGGACGGTATGTGCGTGATATGCGCAGGGCCACAATTTTTGACTCCGCGTAGGCGCTGAAGTCAACTTGTGGGAGAATTGAACGAGTGTTCGTTCCAATCAATATGACCCGAAAGAGGAGAAACTTTGTATACTCCCAGATATTAAACTTGTCTGCAACTTTCAGAGGTAAGAAGCAGACGCCTGAGTTTAATTTTGTGAAGAAAGATGAAGGATGCTGGCCCCTGCACTAGTCCCTATTTAGCTAGCTTCAATTGAGTGTGGGTACCTGACCGTTAAGGTGTCATGTCAGGCACACAGGAATTGAGGATGATTCCAGACAATATCAATGGAACTTCAGTGATCTTTTCAAACTGACAGTATCTCTCTCTTGTATACAGTACTTTCTACTTCTCTGTATTGACTATAGTGTAGACACTGTACTGCCGCATCATCACGCCCTAATTCCTCCACCTCCCTCATTCTACCCGAAACGTCATTTTTAGAAGCCCTGATGCAATCCCTTTAAGTGGATCTGCAGGATGCCCATACCCCCTATCCCCTCACATTCAAAGCCCGAGAATTCCGCCGAGCAGAAAGAGGGGAAGAAAGCTTGAGTAGCCTGCAGCAGAGGTACGTACCTGAATCATGCATCACTGCGGAGAATCACCTCTACTCGGAGCATTCTCCGTAGCGGACAATATCACGCCCGCCTATAGGAAGGGGAAGAATAGTCACTACCTCAAAGTGATTGATGAATCCCGACCAAGTAAATTCCATGTATTGTAGTACTACTCTCTCCTTCACAGGAGATGAGGTACCCCGTAGGCAGCTTCATATTTAACATAGTATTATCCCCTCGCTGATCTTCCAACTTACAGTAACCTGTGTACTTAGAAGTACCCCCTCTCAAACCATCACCTTTCAAACCTATCTCATCACAGAGAACAACCATCCAAGATGGTCTCCATCTCCACCCTCCTCCTAACTCTATCTCTAACTCTAACGGCAACCGCCCACCCCTCCGTCACCCACCAAAAACGCAGCGTGACATGCCTCAAAGTCGGCGCCACCGCAACAGCCACCTGGACCAACAGTGCCGATCAAACCTGCACGTATGTGGGCGTGGTAGGCAGTAACTATGGCGAGAATAGTGATGGTGATGGAGAGTATGTTGGTCCCTTTTTTTTCCCCCTTCACTTCCAATTCACTTATCCCATATGTTTCTTCTCTGTCACTACATCACCACTAGTGAAAGAACTGAAAAGCTAACCCAAATACTGTTCAAACAACAGTTACTCCTGCAACGGACGCTGCGGATCAGGATGTAGCGGTATCGCACTGGGTAATGTCTACACCCAGGATTGCTTTTCACATGATATCTGCTCGTATTTTGAAGATGCGAGCGGGGGTGCTAGGTGAGTGGTTCTATCTACAAGAAACATTATAGTATTATGTGATTGAGATATGCTAATATTGTGTACTAGTGACCCCAACTGTGGAGCAGCATACAAGGCCGCAGAGGATGATTACTTGCTGGGATTAGTTGATGGGTGCTCGCAGACGAATCCGACTAATGCGGTGGTGAAGCCAACGGCGACTCCGGTTTGTACTTGATGAGACAGTGGCAGTACATGAGAAGGGAGGGTCATTGCAAGTGACATGTATCTTGGCATTCAAAGTATGCATAACGACAGAATCTTCATCTTTGACACAATATGACTTCTTATATATGTACAGTCCATCTAATTGCTAAATCACACAAAGCATATATACTAGGTGCAAGTATAACATGCAAACATAAAACGTATTAACAGACGCACTACTTCCGCTCCCCAATCAGCTCTCTTGACTCATCACTAGTAGAACTCCCCTGTCGTGCACCCACCATACAGGCACAATGCGCTTCCATCGGTGGACTTAGCGCCTGTTCAATATCATCCTGCAACACGCTCAACCCCGGTTTGCGTCTATTACTCGACGGAGTAGAGTTAGAATTGGAAGAGGCCGACGGTCGCGACTGACTGCTGTTGCTGCCGGAGTCACCAATCCAGCAAGGCGCATGGAAGCGCAGGAACTGTTTCAGATAGGGAAGGCAGGGGCAGATAATGATGAAGTTGGCTTCGATGATGCTGTAGATTGTGTCAACAAGATCCGTCCAGTATTGGTATAGCGTAGTCTGTACGCACATGAAGATGACGGCTAGAGCAATCTCGTATGACTGGTCATCGGACGTTACCAGCGGCATTAGAGTCACCAGCCGGATTATGCTGGTGATTATAGTTCTGTGGGGTAGTGAGTTATAGTTTAGTCAAGCATGGAGGGGATATTATGGGATTGAAATAAGAAGGATCACCTACAAGCAACCAATCCCAAACATACAGCCGACCCCAAGCTTCTGAATCAATGGAAGTTTCAGCTTGACTATGACTGGGATAGGGATTAGAATCAATATGATATCGCTAACGGTGTTAGTAATGGCCGTAGCGAGATAAAATCCGACGCGGTTAACGCAGTGGCCGGTAGTGATGGTCAAGTCCCAGTTTTTGGCGATGGGTTGGCAAGGGAAGATGAGACCCAAGGTGAGGGCGATCGTGTAGCCGGCAATGATGAAGGTAACGAGGAAAATGATGTTTCTCCAGATGCGAATCATGTGCAACAGGCGATAGTAGAGCATCAGCAGAGCGAATTTGGCCGCAGCTAGGGCAGGGACGTAGATGATGGCGGCAGAAAGGAGAGTCTGGTTAATGGCTCAGCGACGAGACCACAGCAGGATAGAAGACGAGCAAGAAGCAAGATCGAAGGACGGACTTTCACGTAGATTTCGAGAACCGCGGGAGACAGGTACTCGATATGGACTCCATAGCCTCCATAAGTGTAACCGTCTACATGGAGAGGGCGGTTAGTTTCTGTGTGCGCTGGAGTTCAGCAACTAAAACCAGACGAATCTGCATAAACATACAGAGAATGACAGATTGCGTGCCAATGGAAAAGATCTGTGATATCAGAGACATGTGAGTGCAAGGACTAAGACAAGGTCATCGCTGCTACACAATACCCAAGCGAGAATTAAGCAGACTGCAGGCTGTATTAGCCACCAACCACTCAAATCTTTACACCATATAAGCATAGAAAACGTACCATCATCCCACCAGAACTTTCGCATGATGTGGATCTTGGTGTATATTCGCATGACGAGTAAGACTATGCAGAGGGAAATCCAAATCCCGGCCAGGATCTGATTGGTGGTGCGTAACCATGGGTGCGACAAAGTCCCCCGGAGAGCGTCATCACCAGCAGCTCTTCCCAGCAGGTCCATATTGAAGAGCCGACAAGCAGCGGCAGGTTTCCCTGAAGAAGGGGCATTATTATTGTTCTATCATGTCGATTCTAACGCAAATTGACAGATGGCGAGAACTGAAGCCCGGTCGCGTTTAAGTAACTGGAGAAGAGTCGAGTATCCCTCGATTCCTCCCGTCTCGGTGGCTGAGTGTCAGTAGAGTTTCAGCCACGGCATCATCATCCAGTATCTGCGGCAACGAGCATCGACCGATCGTGTCGGGAACCACCGCAGATGCTCGTCCATCTGCTCGATGCGATGAGAATCCTTCATATTCCGGGGTCTGTGCATCCTCCAGTAACTTTCAACCCTCGGGTAGTTAATATACGCCACCCGAATCCTGTGCCCAAGGGCAAGTACGTCGAACAAGTAGAAGACTATTACCACGGACCAAAAACAAAGTGGGGATATCATTACTGCATTTCGTCTATCATAAGGTTCGGGAATCGGTCTAGAACGATTCCACAACCCCGTTCATGTACATATTAGATACAGAAAAGCCACCCTCGTCAGTTGAAGGTGGCCTGAACGCTAGAAGCCGCATAGAAGGGCCTTTTGTTAATGTAGATCATAGAATCAATCCAAGGCAAAGCACCGTTCCACCGAGTCAGAGTTGTTACCCCACCAGTTGGGCATGGAAATTTGCTTTCCCGAGCCAAAGAACAAGAAGATCAACAGCATATTCAGGTTGAAACCCGCATCGAAAGCAGCGGCCACCATGTAGCTGTAGCGTTTCCATACCTCAAACCGATACCGGTAGGCCCAGTACATGACAACATATCCGCCAATAATTGCCGATGTGTAACCCGTACTGATATTACCGTAGAAGACCGACAAACCGGAGAAGAAGATGCTAACGTTCCACAGATCAATGCGCAGCCAGCGCGGTAGAGTGCGATGCATAATGTACAGGATCGGGGGCAGCACCGCGCCTACCAGGAACGCCCAGGGTAGAGGCTTCATCTCTTGCTCCTTGAACAGTCGGCTGGGTCCGAGAACTGCATACTGGACACCCAGAGTATTGGAGGATTTCAAAGACTGACCAGACCATTGGTTCAGCGGATCCGTCTTCTTGCCCGACAGGTAATCTCCTTTCGTGTTGAGGACCCATCGGATCACGGCGTAGTTCACTGGAATACCGAGGATAGTGCCAAAGATTTGAGAGAAAAAGACCGTGCGTGGCGGGATATGCATGTAGTGACCGATCTTCTGGTCTTGCAGCATATACTGCGCGCGGTACCAGGCATCGCCGGCAATCGATCCGTACGTAGACGGTCCGCAGGGGTGCCGATGGCTTTTTCCAGCAGGGGTTTCGACCATGTAGCCATACACCAACTCATTAAAGGACCCGACTGCCAGTTGATAGTTCGAAATGGCATACAGAAAGCCAAAGGGGACCACCAACACGGCGGCGCTCGCCAGCGCCACAAACAATGTCCAGATCGGGATCCACAGATAGCCACAGGCAATCGTCACGATCAGAGCTATAAAGCCAGCCATGAAAAGCGCGACGTACCACCAGAGGGGAATTTCCTTGTAGGTTCGCTGGAGAACATTGAGACGATCATGATACTGGTGGTTGATGCTTTGACCCTTCTGCTGCGACGCTTTCTGCCGCGACCGAATAACTTTCATCAGATTGTTTCGGATCTGGACGAAGCCGAAGGTTAAGATCCACGTAATTGCTGCGGTCACTTTCGCATAGTCGAAGAAGGTCGCCCAGAGGTTCTGAAGACCCATGTACATGTCACCATACTCCGCGTAGGCGGTCTCGTTCAGTTGATAGTCGGAGGTAACTACCTTGAGGGTAGGGTAGGTCGTTCCGTTCACTGTCAGCAGAGAATTAGACATAAGGCCGTGCTTGTAAGACCCAAGGTTTCCCCATTTCGCGGCTGGGAGTAAGACCCAACAATTGAAAACGAAGGCCAGGAACAAAACAACCTGCGTCCACCACGGGGTAAGAAGGATCGAAGAACCGTTCCAGTTGATGTTCGACCAGTCGAGGGACAAATTCAGCAGTCCCATACCTCCCAACCCAGATCCCAGGAAGTTGGCCACAGCGTTATGCGGTGCGACCCAGCACAAGAAGGCGAGGGAAGATGTGAACGGAAAGACGTATTCGGGCAAGAACTGCCATAGGGTCATTCCCAGGAAGCAGAGGAAGAAAACCTTCATCTGCCGCCGCGCGAGGGGGGATGAAACATCCTGTTTCCGGAACGTTTCGAACAACGTAGTCTGCATGAGGGCCTGGGGCCAGATGAAGTTGGGGTCATATAGCAGAAGCTGGCGGGCCAGTGCTGCGAAAGCATACCCGATCCAGACAATCGCAAACATGAAGAAAATAGCCACAGCAGGATTGACTCTCTCGCCGTAGTAGAGCTCTGCCATTGCGATCGGGGTATATCCCAGGTTATAGGTAGCTCCGGATGCCGCCGTCAAGGTGACCAGAACATGTTCCTTGATGCTCCACGGGCCCGGGTTGAGGCTAAAGGACCAGCGGGTAAAGGGTACGCGGATCACCCAGGCTGGGAGGACCCGCGCCAGAAAGTGACCCGCATAGTGGCACGCGATCTGCACGAAGAAAACGGAGTATGGGGCTTCGGTGGTACGGAAGTGGCTCATCATGGACAAGAAGGCACCGGGTACGACGAATATCACACAGAGAACGAAGTATCGAAAGGTAATGGTGTACAGGGTTGGGTCATCAGTAAGACTGACCAACTGGCGCACCTCGAGGGGCAGCGCGGCGATCTCGGGGTCTTCTTCGGCTGCGGTTTCGACCACATTGGGCTCTTCGGTCTTCTGACTCTTCTCCAAATCATCCACGGGCTGTTCCTTCACGGACGCCGCTTTGGAGACGGAGTCGGACGTCTGGTCCTCCCGGTAGCCCGTGGTGGTGGCGACGGGCGATACATCACCGGCATCAGAAGGCGCCGCATCATCTCGCTTCCGTCGAAAGATCGTGGATAGGCCCATGGTGAAGAGCCGGAGGCTGAGATCTAGCGCGCAGAGGCGGATGAGGTGAAAAGACGCATGCCCAAGCAGTTCGTTCCAATGCAGAGAGGGGTGAGGCAGCCCGCAGTTATAGAAAAGTTTCCATGATCGAGTGACTCCTCGCCCTTCTCCGCATCAGGTAAGGGGGCGATGGCGCAATCGAGCAGCAGCACCGCAGCATTTTCACACACCCCAGCTGCCAAGTCGGTCGGCTTAACGCCGAATGGCTAGAAAGTGCGAATTGTGCAGGTGGCACGAGCTAGGGCTGACCATCGTGGTTGAGAAAATGAAAATGGTGGGAGAGGAATAGCAGTGGTATGAAGCCAAAGTGGATGCCAAAATTGCGTTATCGAATCCTTCTCATTCGTGATACGCCCTTAGATCCCCGCCCACAGCTTGTCCGCAGACACGCCGTGATTCGACAGACGCCATTTCAACCTCTTTAGCCAGCGACCGGCCCCTGGGCCATCCATGGGTCCGAGGCCCAAGAAGAAATTTCACACGTTACAGAGGAAGGTGGAAGAAGTAGGCTAGTAGAATTGGGCTTGAATACCGCGGAGGGCTGACCGAGGAGTGAAGATGGTGGCCTATCAGGGTTTCAGCTGGGCCGCCCCTCAGGCCGGTCGTGCCCCAATGGGGTGCTTAATCCGGTTAAGCTTAGATAAGAGAAATCGATGAGCAAGAATTCGCGTGGATAACAAAATCAGAGTGAGATTTGACCGAGATGGGGCGATAATGGCTTGAGGCAACAGATAACCAGGCAGGTTTATCACCCTCTGAATAATTCATGAATTTGGAAGTTTCAAGAAAGATAAGCTGAGAGAATACTAAGATTGAATTTGGATCATATAAAGAATGGTTCAAGAATGAAAACAAATCCTCGTCTAAAATTATCGACTGCTACTATGCGATAATAAAGAAACTGCTTTGATTAATTTATATTGGAGACTGAATGTCCACATAAAAAAACATGCCTCGATACAGCTTCGTATTTGCAGACTAGGCGCGGGTTGAGACGACCTGTTCTTTGGGCTTTTGACCAGAAGAAGAAAAACAAAAATAGACGCATTTGATTCCCCCGAACCAGAATCGAACTGGTGATTTTTCGGTTACAATGAAATTCCTATTACAGCCGAACGCCATAACCAACTAGACCATCGGGGGATCGTTGGACTGGCCGCTGAGACCTGGCCCTTATGTTTCAGCAGTGTGTAAATATACAAATTTTTTATCGGAAATATAGAGCAATTGCATTTCGTGGCTGGAAGTAGACCAGCGTAGAATCATACTGTACAATAGACTTTATGTATAGCTATGGCCACAAGGTTTTTCACCAACAGTCTAACGCACACACACAACGAAATGGGCTACATTTTTGGTCATCTGACACATAGAATGTACAAGTCACGCGCTCTAGAATTATAGTTTAGGTTTGAAGTAAAATTCGTACGGGCCAACTACGGCTCGGGATGACGCCGGCGCAAAGGATATTTCATTCCATTCATCTTACAAAAAAACGACAAAAGGATTCAGGATCGCAATCATAAAGGTTTATGGCAATACAGTGGCCTGGATTCATTGCAATCATTTGAGTTTCGCCCTCGCAAAATCTGTTATACGCTATGTGAGAGAAGTCACCAAAGTGGTAAAAAAAGGAAAAGGATATAAGAAGAGTCCCCCGAACCAGAATCGAACTGGTGATTTTTCGGTTACAATAACTTCCATTACAGCCGAACGCCATAACCAACTAGACCATCGGGGGTTCTTGTTGTCATCAGTCAGCAATTATGCATCTATCAGACAAGATTATACTTACCACCTCAGCCCGCTAGGTCGGCTGCGAGCCAGCAAGCCGGCAAGCCATTTTTTGGCTAATATAAAAGGGTAAATAAACCTGCTGTATTTCAACAAATACGTATAAAAGGGAGGACTGATTAGTTGACACTGGCTAACTAGTTCCTGTGTTTTCATAACACCACGAGGCGATCAAGATGCTTCGTTGCAGTAGCTGAAGCTCGAAACAGCAGATTTCCGAAGTTTTGAATTACGGGCAACCGGATAGAATGGAGAGTCCATAGATATGGCCACCCGAATTGTCAAACACGAATGGAGGCCAGTCCTTGACGAGCAACGGGGGGTGAAAATAGCACTGAGCAATCGCCCCTTGATATCGGCAGTCATGCAGGTAATCGCATATACCACCAGCGCAAGTGGGATATCCGGTTCGATCTACGGCACACATGCTGAACCTTGGGCTTCACAGTGATTTGTGACCAATCAACAGCACTGTTCGCCTTTGCAGCACCCTACTAATAGTAAATGTGGATACACGTCAAGCAAAAACTTAGATATCCCCCGAACCAGAATCGAACTGGTGATTTTTCGGTAACAATGATGCCATTACAGCCGAACGCCATAACCAACTAGACCATCGGGGGCTTATTATAATTGTGTTGGCTGGCTTTTTGTTTATCGCGTGGTGAATGGTAGAGCTAAGTAGGCTGTCGTACCAGGTACAAAAAAGATTTGCTCCCCCGAACCAGAATCGAACTGGTGATTTTTCGGTTACAATAATATCCATTACAGCCGAACGCCATAACCAACTAGACCATCGGGGGCTTGTTGGTTTTATGTCCTCATGTTTTGTATTTATAAATGCCATGCAACACATGACTGGCAAGGCAAGAAAAAAGATCTCATATCCCCCGAACCAGAATCGAACTGGTGATTTTTCGGTTACAATAATTATCCATTACAGCCGAACGCCATAACCAACTAGACCATCGGGGGTTGTGATGACGAAGCAGCCAAAGTTTTGACTACATATTCTAAATCGTGTACCTACAGGAACTCGGTAGTGACTAGTTGTACTTCCAGTTCTAGACACAAAACTACGAAAGGGATATGCTGTGTTTCAAGGGCAGACTGAAAATGTACTTGCCATAATTGTAACATCATGAATCTGCTTAAGCGGAATATGCCTATCGCTTTGTCTATCCGGTGAAAGGACTGCTCGGTACTAGAATTACTGTCACCACAATCACTTGAATAATATATATATAAATACCACTCTACAACGTGGGAACAAATTGGAACGCTGTCTGTTATTGATGGGTATCGTTAGTACTCGATCACCTGGTCTACGTGGAATGTCTGCTATCTGCTGTAGTATATTCACGGATATCTCTAGCAGATCGAAATAATCCCACGTAGAGGAGCTACTCCAACACACCATGATACCCGTAGCCTGCAGTATTTTATCAGGTATAAATTATGTCTCTCACAGAGGTCCCAGTCCTCCTCTGTACGTACCATCGGCGACTGAATGATTTTGATTCCTCCAGTGTGTACCCTTCCAAAGCGTCCATAAGGCTATTCATCTTTCTCACTATACGCTCTCCCCGACTTGATAAACAGACATGAAAAGAGCCATTCTTTCCGATTCCCTCGATAGAAACGACCAGTCGGCTTGCAGGGTCCGTTGGTAGAGCCTTATTGGCATAGGCGAACTGGGTCGGTGCTTCAGTGAGATGAAACCGTAATTGCACCTGGTCGCCCACCCGAAGTCCCAGTTTGAGAGATCGGGAGATAATGAAGCAAAAATCACTGCAAACCAAAGTCTGAGCGCTCCGATCATCATCGTACCCCGAAACCGTCTTCTGTGACCCATTTGTGAGAACATTTTGTAACTCCTTCATTTTTCTCATCTCAACAGCCTTTTCTGCCAACTTTCTATTTCGGGCCATGATGTCGGAGTAGTAGTACCGAAGGATGGGATCAGGAGAGTTTCGAAGGTCATTAAATGAATCCCTTACAGCTTTTGCCCACCTGCGGATCTCAGGATCTGGCGATAGAAGCAAATTCTGGAATGCTTCCCTTCCACCGCATGCCTCGGCAGGAGCGGAGTCATTTCCGGTAAACCCTTGCCAGATTGGGGGAACGACGTTCAAGTGGCGAGTGGACCACATTCTACAGACACCCAGAGGAAGGTATTCGTCTAAGTGCTTGGCGGTAAGCGTCTGAAAGATACAAGCCATCCACATTTCCTGAATGTTAAGCAGACAAGCATCTGCATTGGTTGTACTTGACTTCAGCTCGACTAGGGTGACGAATGTAGACTCAATATCCTTGACGGAATCCCAGACATGGTAGTGAAGGCTCGCATGCGTACGCCGATACCAAGGATCATTATGGTTCGCGATGCGCTCAGAAAGCTTGCTGGATTGGCCCACATAAAGCCACATCCTTTGATGATTCGATGCACTCCAGAGAATGTTCAGATATACACCAGGGTTATCTGAATTCTCTGGCATACCGCCAATAGAGCGCAGGCTGTATAGATTTGATATTACTTTAGTACGACGCGAAGCCTAGAAAGGGAAAAAAAAGACGAGAGAAGAGAGAGTCAATAGCATACCTGTCTACATCAAATCTCCCAGACTCGCCTATTCGTTTCACATGATCATTTAATCCCGATTCAAGCATTTTCTTCAGGTTTACCCAATCGCATGTTTGGAGTATTTCATACCGATCACCGAACTTTTCACCAACGACTTGAACCAAATGGCGTAGTAGATATGTTGAATCTATAGGGCCACGATCCTCAAGAACAAGAGGGGTCTCAATGAGTTGCTTGAAGTCCGACTGCTTCACCTGTCTAGTTTTCCCAGGATGGTGCGAACGTGAAGTGCCCCGAAGTGTATCAGGCATACTCAATTCCCTCTCAAAGACGGTGCTTGTTTGCTGGTTAGTTGCCTTTTTCTGGTTGCCATGAGAAATTCGCCTCTGTATCACTTCGCGTTGGCTCCCCAGCAGCGTCTTCAAGTACTCATCATATTGATGACGCCTCTTGACACTCGCCTGAACCCGTGAAGTGGCACTGCTAAGTTTATCATGATATGACAGCGAGCGCGGAATCTTGTTGAGATACCAATAGAATATCCTAATAACGAATGGATAGTCCACCGCAGATATAATATCTGCCTCATACACATCCTCATCTATGTCCCGAGCCAATTCATCGAGTAAACGTTCCAGAACAAAGCAACGTAAACGTTCTTGCTCAATGGTCTCGTTCTCGGCCCGATCGGGTAAAAGGTTTGGATTGATGCCGAGTTCGAATGTGTCGGCGAGGAAGGGTAGAAGTTGGTCAACTAGCGCAGTGTGTAGGCGGTAGCAATCCAAATTCTCTTTCTTGAAGGCCTCCAAAAGCTCGCTAGCCTGCTAGCAAGAGAGGTGAGGACCAAGTTGCAAAGAAGTACTTGTCACATTACGTACCTCGACCATCGCCACTACCAGACAATTCAGATCTGTGGTACGAATGATAGTTAGCATGCATACTCAATAATGAAGCTTTGAATTTCGGGACTGTATGTTTGTCGAACAAGGGAGCCCCGGCCTAGCCAACTCAGTAATAAAATTAGCTTACAGGATATGTTGAGACATTCACTCTAGCCAGTCATTACCTGACACCGACCGACAACCAAAATCTTAAGATTCAGATAGATCAAATACATACATCCAACCCCTGCGTCTTGAATTGAAAGAATAGTATATTGACTACACAGTACTAGTAGATGATGAATAGTATGACAGATAGTTGACAGAGTGAGGGCAAAGGTGAGGGTAAAAGAAAAGGGTAACTGATTTCCTACTAAGAATGCAGTAGAGCTGTATCAACGCATGATTTACTATGGTCTTCCATGCAGTTATTGCTAGCGATCATTGTTTTGGCAGCCGCTATTGATCGGTCCTTTCCAGGTTAAATCCGGTTACGGTGCCATCGCGGGCAGCTGCACCGCGCGACCGACCCGCATAGCGTGAAACGCCTGATCTGACATTGGCTTCAGCCGCCAATTGCCGTTTATCTAAGGTTGTATTCTGTATTCGTAAGTAGGTGATTTGATGATCATTCATTACCCAAGCACAACAGGAAACGGGATGACCTCATGGCGGTGGTTTCGGTACGGTCGGAGGCATCCGTGGCAAACCATGGATATATGTACAGCGATCATTTAAGCCAGTGACAGCAGAGGCAGAGAATTGGGCCAGGGCCTGACAGTGCCCGGTTACCTTTATTGATGGATCCAAGCTGTCAGGCCCGTCAGTCATCTTGATTGGGGAGAAAAGGGAGTAAGTACTAGGGAGGGAATGCAGGGCATGAATTCGCTGTGAACAGGGCGATGACGTCCTTCTCACATCAGAGTCCCGGACCGTCAGAATTCTCTCGCGCCAGCTATTATAACTAACTGATCAAATGGCACCTCGACGGTCTTCAATGTTGATTTACGATCGCACACTTTTCTTTCCTAGTTAATTGCATCAATCTCACACGCTTGAAGATGCCTGAGCATACACGGAAGCACAAGGTGGCCGTGGTCGGTTCCGGTAACTGGTATGCACCATCTCTGATTCTCTTCCTTGCCGCTGTCGCGCATTTGGCTAACACCATGGTAATCTAGGGGATCCACTATCTCCAAGATTGTTGCGGAAAACACCAAAGAGCATCCCGACCTTTTCGAACCGGAGGTGCGCATGTGGGTGTTTGAGGAGGAGATCGAGGTCCCGGAATCCTCCAAGCACCACAAGAAACTAGGCGGCCAGAAGCGCAAATTGACCGAGGTCATCAACGAGGTCCACGAGAATGTCAAGTATCTGCCGGATGTTGCCCTCCCTGATAACGTCGTAGCCGACCCAGACATCAAGTCGGCCGTCAAGGATGCTACCTTACTCATCTTCAACCTCCCCCATCAGTTTATCGGCAAGACCCTCGATGGTGTTGTCGGGCACCATCTCCCCTATGCGAGAGGTATCTCTTGTATCAAGGGCGTCGATGTGTCAGACGGAACCGTGACTCTCCACTCCGAACTCATCATGGAGCGACTCGGTATCTACTGCGGTGCCTTGTCCGGCGCCAACATCGCTCCAGAGGTAGCCGCGGAGAAGTTTTGTGAGACGACCATCGGTTACGACACCCCTCCGATGGATGCGAATGAGCGTAATGGGTCGCCGAAGGATAACTTGATCAAGATTGATGAGCAGCGGCAACATAAGACCAAACCCACGCATGTCAAGCTACACCCGGTGCCAAAAGATCTCCCTCCTGTCGATGCCGAGCTGTGGGAGACTCTGTTTGCCCGCCCATATTTCCATGTTAATCACGTTCGCGACGTTGCCGGGGTGGCTCTAGGAGGTGCATTGAAAAACATTGTAGCTTTAGCATCGGGGTTTGTTGCAGGAAAAGGCTGGGGAGAAAATGCCAAGGCAGCAATCATGCGTGTCGGTATCCTGGAGATGATTAAGTTTGGTCGGACGTGGTTTCCCAAGTCTGTGGATGAGAGGACCTTTACTGAGGAGAGCGCGGGTCTAGCGGATGTGATTTCCTCGTGTAGCGGTGGGCGGAACTTCCGGTCAGCCTGTCATGCAGTCGAGCAGGGGGTCAGCGTCAATGAAATCGAACAGAAGGAGCTCAACGGCCAGAAGTTGCAGGGGACTTCGACGGCTTACGCTGTTTATGAATTTCTCTCGAAGCACGACCAGCTCAAGGAATTTCCGTTGTTTGTTGCGGTTCACGGTAAGCATTCCCTTCGATTTTAGCTTCCTCACCAGCTCGTACTAACGGTATGTCAGATATCCTTGAAGGAAAGTCTACTGTTGATGACCTCCCGGCACTGCTAGATGGGAAGAAGAAAAAGAAGAGCGCCTGAGGGTGCGCGATCCCGTTCAATAGTTTCCGAACCTAGATAATGAGACATGACACGTTGCTAGACTAATAAATGCTAGTCAACAGATGAATTAAGAATTGTTTTCATCCAAAGTATCCTGTAGCCCGCAATATTGCTGCCCTGGGGTGAATAAGATGAGTGAAGGTCCATCGCGACCTGCCCTCACATGACTTGACATTCTATATCCCTACTTTGTAATAAGTAGTAAAGGCACAGCGCCCGTATTCAATCAAATGCCTACAGTGCACAATTCCATAACTCAGAAATGGTTCTCAATAAATGCATTTACTCTTCAGGAGCTTCACCCGAAAGCTGTCCCAGTTTCTGGCCCGCTGCCTTCTTTCCCTGTTGCGAGACTCCAGGGTTGCTTTGAGCTCTATTGAAGAGATGATCAGTATTCCATTCCAATTAAATATGAGGAAATGTATCCAACTCACGCCTTTAAGCCACCAGCCACGCGGTTAGGGTCCTTAGTAGCGTCACCGCGGAGGTTGTAGAGTTCCTCCCGGGGCTGATCTCCGCCGAGTTGCTCGATCATGGCCTGAGCATTCTGCTTCGCCTCGTCGGAGGTATTAGGATTATTTAGGGTACTGTTTGCAATCGGGTTAATTGAATCTAGCCTGTAAAAGTTTGAAGGAACACTCACGCCTTATAGCCACGCAGAGCGTTGAGTCTGTCTTCGGTGGAGGACATAGTAGTCAGAGTATGTAAATATATATTATGAATGATGACAGAGCCACTGAGCTTGGTACGTTGTATGAAAAGTATCCAATAGACCTGAACAGATCTGCTTCATGCCATTACCTATATACCAGATGTCTGATTCGAAAGCCTCACTCGTCATCTTTTCATCTTCGTCTGTTGGTGAGGAGTTTAAGTAAATGTGACTTCATGCTGGCCGGGATGACGCCCGGTTAGGTAATATGTGTAGGTCTGGGCCTTATGGAATAGGTTCTATTCTACTTGATTCGTTGAATATAAAGCTAGACCACGAGTTAAAGCTTCGGTACCGTGGAGGGCCGATTTTAGATTGGTGGTGATAGCCAGCTGATTGGTGTAGTCTCGCTCGTCGCTCGACGCGATGGCACTAAAGAATAGGAAACGTGCAAGTTTAGGGACTGCCACTTGCAAATAATGGGGTCTATTCCGCAACGCTGTAAGAGCCTTTCATCCCAACTAAGAGTATGTTGTCAGGCCCAGACTCCCAGAGTGGCATCAAAGTAGTGCCGACTACAGGAGTATATGCGGGAAACTATAGCATTAATCATAATGCAATTATCATTGGTATCGTAACCATCAGCACATGTCCTGTTCCTAATCCAATCGTATCCTGGCCGCAATTGACTTCATACTGACGACCGATCAATGAGCTCAACTCGCGTTATTGCCTGACGCTTCCCACAGACGGTTGCATACGAGAAATTTAATTAGTATGAAGAAGATGACGAATGGCTCATACTGCAGGCCTTGATTTGGTTGTAAAGTTGACGTGGATGGCGGATGAAAGCAACCAACAAGTCCCATTGACCGCCTATCTCTTCTCGACTGACATGTCAGGCAGTATGCACATACGACAGTAAAAGTAGGCGGTGATAATTTCCGGACAAGGGGGTTGCCTTCCCGTTGTGGATCCTTCGCTTAACTACAAAGTATGAAGAATCCAAGTTCCTCGCCCATTCCTCTACCTAGGACTGAGAATGTCGGTTATATGTAATAAATTTGATGTGGGTCAACTCATTCGGTTTGTTTATTGTTAAGACAGATCGAATAACCGTGTGTCATAATCACAGGAGCCTATCCTGGCACGAGAACAAGGCCGCCGAGCATTCTGTCTCTCGACCTGTACTTCAACTTGCTCAGCTGCATTCTTACTATTCCTTTTAATTTACGGGTTCGTTGAGGGACACCAAAGCTCAAACTAGATTTTGATGAGGCGAAAAAAGCGTTCGAATCTTGGAGACTTTTGAGATAATCACGTATCTCCAACTTTTAAGCTATAATGGGACACGCCAATGTGCACGCCAACTCCATCTCAAAGCGCCAATTGCGTCTGCATTTAGTGCACTTTATAAACAAAATCAACATAATGGCCAATGCTGCAGGCTTCCAAGGATAAAGAATCCGGGGATGTAGATCCCTGACCCTCACTCGTGCCGGAAGATGGAACCGACTATGCTTGTGGGTCTGGAGCAAGGGGGGACGCCAGTGGTCCCAGCGGCTTGCATCCCATCGATCCTTGCCATAACATGCAGTATCTACGACTGTGCCTCAAGAATAGCATTGCAACAAACCCAGCTTGTTGAATGACAGTGGATTTGGCGATAGCATGCTTCTCCCTTGGCTTCTAGTTAGTAATATCTTGTGACAACATTGGGCCCTCCAGTTGGCCGAGACCGTCCATCCCTTGAACTACCCGCCTGTGGAAGGGAGATCCTATGTGGGGAACCTTCTTGAACTTTTCAATTGAGCCTGTAGATACCACACTGGCTCATCCCTCCCTCGCATAAATTGTCATTCCGTATATGTTCCTACCATAAACACAAGCAGACTCCGAAGGAGCCATCTGAGGTATAAATACGAGGTGCTGACCTGCTGTATTTCCCTCATCATCAACCAGAACACAACAGCCCTCGACCACCAAATTCACTCTTTCTTCTCATACTAACCTATCTGCAGGAAACCGTAGGTTACACACCATCCCTCTTCATCCATCCCACAACTAAACAATCTCCAGACAACCCGCCAAAATGCGCTTCACCTACCAAGCTCTCGCTGTCTTCATCAGCTCCCTCCTGGTCAACAGCGCCGCCGCCCACGCTTGCGAGAGCAGCGCTGTCTGGCCCGATCCCGCCAACTGCCACAAGTTCTACCAGTGCAACCCTGGCACTGAGCCCGCCCACAAGGAATGCGGTGCTGGCACTGCCTTCAACCCCAAGATCAGCACATGCGACTACGAGCAGAACGTTCCTTCTTGCTTCAAGGACCCCCACCACCCTCGCCCTTTCCACGCCTAGATGGCAAACCCTACTTTCCGACCAAAGTCGCTCTTTAACCGATATGTGTTGAGTATAGGTGTACAGGCTTATACTGAGACATTTTAATTTCTAATGTATCTCTAATTGGGGTGTCGACTATAAAATCTTTTGAAAAAGTGGATAATTGTTATCAGATCTGTTTATTGTGTACTATCAGTTGAATGTACTATGGTCATTCAAATACTGCTGCATAATGTGTTATTTGAAATATATCATTCGCTCAATTGATAATCCATATTATCGGTATACATGGTATCATATCTTATATAAATGGTCTATCAAATCTACATCAAACGGTATCGTACGCGGTAACAGTATGCAATGCATCCACGCTACAAATGGTATTGAGGGGCGCCGCTTTCCTCGAATCCCATACGCTGCCACCACCGATCAACACCCATGTCTTCTTGCGAGCTGTCAAATCGTTAGCTTCTATCTCTTTACAATCAGAACAATTTGATTATTTGAGAACTTACTCCCAAGACTCCTTAACAACAGGCTCATTCTGTCCCTCAGCGGGGTTGGGATTCCGGAAAACAATGTTGTATTTCTGTACATCCAAACAATTAGCACTCCCTTCATACCACAGACACAACGTAATGAAATAGAGAACTTACCAATCCCAACGTAATATGAATAGCCATCGGGAACGGCGGGAACGCCTCCTCGGGCTTCTTCCCCTCGATCATCGCCTGGATGTTCTTCGCCACAGCCGCAGCCTGAGGACCACCGGGTCTTGCGGCCTTGCGCAATCCAGTATCAGCGATATCGCCCAGCGCAAAGAGATTCGGGTACTTCGGGTCCTGGAACTGCATGGTGGGACGGATGCGAATGAAGCCGTTGTCAGGGTTGATGAGAGAGTCGGGAGAAGAAGCGGGGAGAGACTTGATAAGGTCGTTGTTGGGCTTCTGGCCCGTGGCGAGGATGACGAACTCGGTTGAGAGTTCGGTGCCGTTGTTCAGTTGGACGGTGAAGGGGGTGCCGTTGTTGGGGAAGCCGGATTCGGGGACGACGATGCGGGCGCCGGTGACCAGGCTGCAGTGGGTTAGTTGGGATGATTCGATGGGTATGGGGGAGATGGTAAGGGGTCGAACTAACTTGATACCAAGCTCCTCGAAGCGCTTCTTGACGATCTCGTGAAGACCGCGGTGGAATTGAGGCATCAATTGATCGCGGGACTGCACCACGGTGATTTCCTTCTCCGGGTACAGCTCCTTCATGTCGGTGGCCATCTGCACTCCGACGGCTCCCCCGCCGACAATTACTACAGACTTGGCTTTCTTGACGTCTGCTTGGTGTTTCTGAAGGTAGAGGACGGAGGAGGGTTTGTCGTCGTCGCTCATGGCTGCGGGTTGGGCGAGACGCGTGCCTGTTGCGACAACGAGGTACTCGAATGGGATCTGCTTCAGACCTTGCCAGTCACGATCGAGGTTGACGTGTTGGGGTTGTACGGAGAGAACGCGCGCCTGGACGACTGCATGTTGTGTGGCATTGGGGGTGGAGGAGTAGAGGCGGGAGTAGGGGATGAAGGCTTTTTGTTCGTGGCCGGAGAGGACGGCGAATCGGGGCTGAGGTGCGGATTAGCTTCTGTGTCTCTGATGATATATTGGAAAGTAGGGCGGTGTTGTCACATACAAATGCGAAAAGATGGTGGAAGTGACTGTGGGGTTCGATTAGGAGAACCTGCGGGCGTGGGTTAATATGGTATTCTGAACCCGTATAGATGTCAGAGTGGGACATACTCTATGTGTGCTGGGAACGACCCGCGCAAGCTCTTGTGCGACTCCCTGTATTTGCTGTCAGTCATGTTTCTGGAATATTGACCGTGTTGCGCGTGAAATTACCTTTCCGACATAGGAACCGCCTACAACGATGACGTTCTTCAAAGAAGTTGCGGCCATACTGATGGAATTTTCAGTGCGGTGTTGGATTATTCTAGGAGCGATAGACGAGATAATCAATGCTATGCTTGCAGTGATAAATGTATAAGAAATCCACGAAGGTATAAGTCTGTCTGAAGGTAGAAACATGATCAAATCGCGACCGAGCACGCAGAAGCACGAGTATATAAGGGCGGCAGAAGGATTAGCCCCGGAGGCAAAGTGGGGGATTATCGTCCAGGGGAGCTCGGCATATTCCTTATCTGATCTCCCGACTGCCCTTTTGAGTATCTCCGAGACGGCATCCACCCCGGATTGGTTCCGGGTGGCAGTGGCGTCACTCCCATAATTCCGGTGGTCCACACTGCCGTGTACACGAAGTAGCCTCTTGCAGGTGGCAGTTCTTTCGGTATGAGTTCCGGGGGTTGTGAGGTGGATGTGTAGAGATTCGGACAGTAAGGGCGCAATGGGAGTGGCCCCGTGCATGGCTCGGAACTCGAGTGTTATCTCGCGAGTGTTATCTTGAGTACGACAGTATTGTCTAGTTCGAGCGAAAGCAATCACTCCTTTACTACAATGTCCGAGGCATCACGGTGGATTCTTTCGTCAACAGCCTTAAGATCAGATAAGAGACGATCAGCCTGATGCAGCCAACCGACTCACCGAGGCACCACCGCCGAGCCCCACGGCAGTTGATCGCGGATGAAGTCCCTCGGATTTGCGGGGTTCGGATATACGGCCGGATTGATGCGGTGCCAGGGATTCGGATTAGGTTTAG